GGAGAAATTTGGACACTTTCAATGAACAGAAATATTCTTCTTCTTCCACTAAAAGATACTTTCAGGGCAATAGCGAAGCTCGTCGTACTGAAATAATTAAAAAATGAGGGATAGGTTTTCAGGATGACAAAAACTTAAGTTCGTTACTCATTGTCGACAGCAATATTTAACATGTGGTATAACTCCAAATTCTCTTCATGCTATTTAAATCACACATTTAGACATTCATATAAAACATACCTGGGAATTGGCTTGGGTTATTAAAGGAAATCTGTGTAAGGCACCATCGAAGTTCAGGAATTTTCATTGTAGGCCGGGGGTAATTGTGTAAACACTTCCAACTTCGAAGCGCACAAAAGTAGATATTTACAGCCCAAAGGCTCGTTTTTCGTACTTCTTGTGGGTTTTCAAGGTAGTAACGCAACGGAATTCTTCAAAGAGTAACATTTTCGACGCCAACAGTCAGTTTTGAAGAAGAAAAAATCAAACGCGCTAGTTTTCTGGTACTCACTTTTTATCGCAAAATAAGGACTTTAACAATGGTAATTCGCTAAGGATGAAGGAACAGGAAGATATTTCTTCTTGTTACTTTACGATCGAGGAAACTTGGTGCCGTTAAATAAGTTAGTTTGGTCACGCTTCGCTATATTTACCGCACTTCGATGCTTTCGTTTGGAGGCTGCCTTCAGGAACCCAAGCCAATTCTCAGGTATGTTTTAGATGAATGTCTAAATGTGTGAATAACCGAGGACTGGGAAAATTTGGAGCTATACCACAGGAAAAATAATGCCGTAGAAAACAACTACTAAATTAAAGTTTTTGTCAACGTAAAAACCTGTTCTTCGTTTTCGAATTATGTCAGTTCAACGAGTCTTGAAATTGCTTTGAAAGTATCTTCTAGTGAAAGAAGAAGAGTCGTTCCATTGATGGAAAGTGTCCAAATTTCTCCTTGCGCCTTTATTTGCGAACGCGAGGAGAGTTGATGTTAGCAAATTTCGGGTTGAAAATACGGCCATTTTGAGACTCCGACCACGAAAACTTATATTCTTACTTTTCTCGAAAATAAAAGGCTTTTTGCGAAAACAACTTACATCAGATTACTTATCGACCTAAAAGCTATTTATGAACAAAAAATGAAGGAAATCGATTTTTCAACTCTTGCCACTCGATGGTCGATATTTCCTGACCGTCGCTCTTAAAAATAATCCTTTCGGAAAATTTCGAGAAACAGGGTAATATTGAAATCGGACTTTAAGTACTAAATACTTTTGGAAAGTCCTTCAAGATTACTTTGGCAATTTTGATATTTTTAGGGACATCGTCAGTAGAAAGAGATAAGTTAACACGAACACATTGTATAATGGTATTCATATTTATCCCGACGAAACAAGGACCTTTTCCAGGACCTTTTTTTAGGTGTTTCAATAATCTCATTGATTAATCGATGTAATTCTTTCGAAACACGTCCACTAAATTTAAAACTGTTATATTAAGTTTCCAAAACTCTTTCCCAAATATCTAACAGACGATTGTCTCATCTGGAAAATAATATAAGGCTACCAAAAAATTTCATTCATCTACAGCTTACCGCCAGGGTTCAAATACTTCTTAGGAACTGAAAGGAATCTATTCACTATTGCTCCAGGATATCTTGATGGAAATTCTGGTAAACCTTCCCAGTGAACATTTCCTTTCTTGACCACTACGTACTTGTAACTGGTTCCCTGTCGGGCACAATCGACGCTAAGAGTGAACTGACCACTAAAACGTATCAACTTTTTCTTGTCTTTACAATTCCTTTGAAATGAGAGAAAGTTGAAAAAAATGCTCAACAAGTGAAATAAAGTATTGTTAAATAGGAAGACTCTGTAAGGGAGCTGTGAAATAAATCTTTAACTTTCGGGGCCTTTTCTTTAATAATTATTCAGATCTTCAAAACTGATTAGCTATTAGCAGCCCTGATGATAGCTCCAGAAGGACACATATATCTACACTAGTAATAAGGCGGTTTCACTGGCTAAGTTTGTTTGATCCCGTACATCTTAGCGAAAAAGGTCGGGTGATCTTTTGTTAGAGTATGATTAGTTGGTAACTGCGCTTTTCGTCGTCAACTTTTTCTGTTATCATGTTTATTGTAGTCCCAGTTAGTTGTTATAAAAACGCATTAGTTCTTGTTCACAGGTCTTCCGGCGTGTCAACTTATTCTATCTTCTACTTTAACAGTTCATGAAGAGAGTCGAGCCAGCCATTCATACGTTAGAAACAAACATTACTAAACTACGACTATTTTACTTTCTGATTAGGTTTTGATTCCCTTTTTAACAAACACTTTCGTTAGGCATGTAAGTCATACCAAAGGTATCATTTGTCTCTCGTCCTTTCTCAAAGCAGCATCAAGCAAGTTTTTCATACCATTCGGGAGCATGGCTAGCGCAGTGGTTAAAGCACTTGCCTCCTACAAATGTGATTCGGGTTCTTGTCTAAACGCGACTCCTTATGTGGTGTGGATGGGTTTTCTGTTAATTCTTGTTCAAGCTGGCGTTTTATATCCGGGTACTCCGGTTTTCCCCTCTACTCGAAAAACCAACATGTTGTGGCAAATTTCAATTCCAGGCATTCGTTGGGTTAACAAATTATTAAAAGTTACATGACAAGTTAAATATTAGTTAAAAATTAACCATCGAGACAGGACTTTTAAGCGCTTCCTTTAGCAACGCTGAAACAAAGCAGACTCACCCCACTGCGATCAAATCAACACAGTTTAATTTGAATTCTCCCAAGTCTCTTGCACCTGCTCGAATATGCAAACCTTCATCTTCCATTTTGAAGTTGGACTCTAACAAAACGTGAAACACGACTGTGACTCCCTTTTCCGGGTCTACCTGCTTCAAGGTATGTTGATTCTGAGTTGTGCTGTGAGGGCTATACAAAAGTATAGAACACTGTTAAAATCGTTGCAGAACGCTTTGTTTTCTTTCTTTCTTTTATTTTTGTTTTGGATTGTTTTTGGTTTTCTTTCAGATAATAATGAAGCAATAACAATACTACTACTACTACTACTACTACTACTACTACTACTACTACTACTACTACTACTACTACTAATAATAATAATAATAATAATAATAATAATAATAATAATAATAACAATAATAAACTTGCATGAAGTCAGCATGATAGTGGAGTAACTAGTAATAGTTGACACTACAGCTGCCCCCGCTCTGTATATTGTCGGTCAATAGCATTCTTGCTCGTTGTGTAGCTCTTTGAAATATACCGATTCATAATGAAGATTTTCACACATACTCCACACAATAGGTGAGATAAATACAGGTAACGCAAGGTTCCATGCACAGTTTCAGGTCGATTTACACAGCTTTGATCAAAACATTCTCAGTTTCAAGAGTAGTTTATTCTACACCATAAGAAAAGGTTTAATTAGAAGTTGAATTTTTCGCTATTTCTCTTTCACTTTTTACATTCAGTTCATTTTATTTGCCAGAAAGGAAGCCTTAGAAATTAAAAGGACGTTTGATCAATTCATACTCGTGCACTCTAGTCTTATTTTAAACTTTATAGTTGAAGGACATCTGTGAGCAGCGAATAAGTAAGCACAGAATTTGATTGTCAGCGAATTTCTGTAATCGTCCATCGTTCTGCTAGTGAGAAGCTAGCCGTTGTTCACTCGTCTTACTTGTTTGGGGCTGAGTCTTATTCCGGTCAAAGAGAGAGAAAGAGTGTCTGGCAAGGTTTCCAATGAAAGATTTGTGAACTCGTGTCTGGCAAACTCTCCAATTGTTTATATATACACAGTTATACGCACCTTATAACTTCTTCTGCGCTTAACGAGTGTCGTTAAAATTTTGGTCCGTAACTTTCACTGAAACAACTGCTCCACAGAATGTCACTGATAACACGTAACGCAAAAGAGTGTCGAAGTATGGCTGCACAATAAATATCACAAAATCTACCTAAGCGGTCCCTTGGGGATGTTCTGTCTTTACGTCATCCTAACCATTTCGTACTTGCGGGCGCAAACAATAGAAGCGTCATCATTACCTACCGATTCCTCGCGGCCCCTGTTCAAGCAAATCGAGATTTTTTCTATATTGACTGTATGACTGTATATTTCAGATGTAAGTACTTCCCTTAATATACGCGCGAGTTACTAGACTGCTTCCTCGGGATTTCGCCTTCTGGGCGAAATCCCTGCGGGGGCAATAACACGATGCAAATTCCTAAACACCAAACGACTGTACTAGTTAAAAAGATAAGACATTACTGTCAGTGGCAATGGCAGTGGCAGTGGTAGTTGTAGTGGTAATGGTAGTGGTAGTGGTATTGGTAGACTGATAAACGGCCCACAGTGTAGCATCAGGTCAGCGGTTATATTTAGCGCATCCCTACTGTAATAAAGTGTGTTCGTATGCATCTGCCATCTTGTTTGTGTTTTGTCCTTTCGGAGAACACTTCATGTGGTCAGAAGTGGGATGGAGCACCTGAAACCGCGTGACGCTCTGATATTGTCTGCAGCGACAAATAAAGCCGAAGCATGGTGGCGCTGGAAAATGTCATGGGACCTGTACAAAGTTGCGAGCGGACTCGATCAAAAGAATGAGAAGATTCAAGTTCCTACGTTGCTCCACGCGCTTGGAAAGGAATGTGTTGAAATTTTTCCCAATTTTGTGTGGGATTCCGAGGATGACCGGGATAAAATTGAGGCCGTAGAAGAAAAGTTCAAAGCTCATTGTGACCTCGAGGCACTTCAATCGCTATTTGTTTATCGAACGGAAACAGCAAGACGGCGAGACAGTCGATGAATTCTGTAGCGCATTGAAAACGCTAGCTAAGAACTGCGACCTCGGTGATAAAGAAGAATCTTCATTGGATTACGTCCATGTTAATCCTGGGGCTCAAGGATCCGTTTTCAAAGGAAAGGTTGATGGAGAGCGAACAGAGTTTAGAGAAAACATCGCATCACCGAAACAAGCAAGCAGCACATGAAGAGCTTAAAAGAAGAGGGTAGCAAAGTTGAGAAAGTGGATGTTGTAGACGGCAAAGGACAGAAGCCTCAATGGGGAATGCCCCGTAGGAGCTGTAATATTCGACACGCACCAGATTCATGTCCTGCTGCTGGGCGACGCTGCCACAAGTGCAAGAAAATGAACCATTTTTCAAGGATGTGTCGTACCTCAGATTGGCAAAAGAAGCAGGTAAATACTCTTGATGATTGTGAATCTGACTCTGAAGTTATGTTCATTGTGGCAGTCAATGCAGAAGACAATGGCTGGGTTGAAACTGTCAATTTTGGAAACATTCAAGAGGTCTTAAAACTAAATACCGGGGCCCAGTGCAACGTCTTGCCCAAAGCTGCATATGACAATCATCCTGGGCAAGGTTAGAAAGTTACTCCAAAACTTGTATTAGACCTGTTGGAAAGTGTGAGTTGCCTTGTTGGGTGCGTGGGAAAAGGTATCAAGTACGTTTCCAAGTGGTTGATGCCCCTCCTGGGTAGATCATCCTGTGAGAATATGGGTCTAATCCAGTGTGTAAATGCTATTGAAAATGACAGCATTCTTGATGAGTTCCAGGACGTATTCCAAGGACTTGGGTGCCTCCCAGGGAAATATCACATCAGTGTTGACCCCAACGTTCCTCCTGTGGTCCATCTACCCAGGCGAGTTCCTCACTCTAAGTGAGACCCACTGAAGAAAGAGTTAGATCGGATAAAGTTTCCTTGAATGAACCAGCTGATTGGGTAAGCAGCCTTGTTTGTGTCGATAAACCGGATGGGTCTATTCGTGTATGCTTAGATCCTAAGGACTTTAATGTTACCATTAAAAGAGAACACTACCCCCTGCCAGTGGTAGATGAAATCACTACTAGTTGTTCACGAACCACAGTATTTTCAACTTTGGATGCAGAAAAGGAATTCAACCAAATCCAGTTAGAAGAGGAGAGTAGCACACTCCTGACATTTAATACCCCATTTGGGAGGTATAGATACCTGAGGATGCCGATGGAGATTAAGTTTGCCCCAGAAGTTTACCAACAAAGAATAGAGCAAGTCTTTGAAGGACTGCCGGCGTGAAAGTCATCATGGTTGACATAATCACACATGGTCGAAATGTGGCAGAACATGATAAACGGTTGAGGGCTGTTTTGCAGCGTTCCAAAGATTACAATCTCAGATTGAAGAAGTCAAAGTGCCATATACAACGGGAAGAAGTGAAGTTCCATGCCCATGTGTTCTCCCATAACGGTTTGAAGACAGACCCAGAAAAGGTCAGAGCCATCTTCGAAATGCCGAGGCCGACAGACAAATCTGGTGTGCAAAGGTTGTTGGGGATGATTAACTATGTCAGTAAATTCACCCCCAACATGTCTGACCTTACTGCACCATTAAGACAGTTACTACACCAAGATGTTGAGTGGCACTGGGAAGAGCAGCAGGAAGCTAGTTTTAAGGCAATCAAGGAAAGGCTTGTCCTCGCTCCTGTGTTAGGATATTATGATGCAGAGAAAGCGTTGACGCTACAAGTTGATGCCAGTTCAAATGGACTGGGTGCAGCATTGATTCAGGAAGACTGACCAATACCTTACGCCTCAAAGGCACTTACACCCACCCAGGAAAAGTATACCCAAATTGAAAAAGAACTTTTGGAAGTGGTGTTTGGCTGTGCCAAATTTGCAGAGTACATCGTGAGTCGTGATGTCACAGTCGAATAAGATCATAAACCTTTGGAGGCGATTCTGAAGAAGCCCTTACACGTAGCACCATTACTGCTGCAACGGATGTTGGTCCAACTCCAGCTCTTTCCAGGAATCAATGTAGTATACAAGCGTGGAGAAAGCCTACATCTAGCGCATGCTCTATCTCGAGCCCACCTGGAAGAAAAGCTAACGAATGCTGAGCAACAATTGGATGTAAACTTACTAGAGGATTTTATCTCTGACCAACAGTTCGCCCGGTTCGCTAAGGCAACTAAGGAAGAGGTGATTTTGTCTGAACTGCAAAGGTCAAGTCCCGTCCAACGCACAGGAGTTTTGGAATTACCGTGATGAACTAACAGAACTAACGGACTGATCGTAAAGGGACAAAAGATCGTTGTATCAAGTAGCTTGAGGGGAGAGATGCTTGAGAAACTGCATGAAGGACACCTGGGAATCAACAAGACAAAAGCGAGAGCACGGGACGTATTGTTCTGGCCCAGGATGAGTGTGGAGATGACCGAGAAAATTAAGAACTGTCCTGTATGTCTAGAAAATCGACCCAAGTCAGCAGCCTGAACCATTGAGGTCGCACGAGATTCCACCATTGCCTTGGGCTAAGGTTGGCACAGATATTCTGCACCAGAATGGTCGGAACTACCTCGTTACCATTGATTATTATTCCAAGAGGCCAGAACTAACTTTACTCCCCTCAATGACAAGCGCGGGAGTAATTGTAGTTCTCAAGACCCAGTTCGCAAGATATAGAGTCCCCTCAGTTGTCGTTTCGGACAATGGCCCCTGTTACAGCTCTTCAGAATTCAGGAAGTTTTCAGAAGATTGGGGTTTCGAACACGTCACGTCAAGTCGGGCCTACCCACAATCCAATGGCCAGTCAGAGAGAACCGTCGAGACTGCTAAAGCAATGCTGGAGAAAGTTGATGACCCATTCGAAGCTCTCCTTTCGTACCGGAATACAACTCTGGAGGAAGTTAACCTGTCGCCCTCACAAATGCTTATGGGCAGACGTTTGGGAACGTTAATTCCAGTGACTGAGGATATGTTGAAACCTCAACTGTATGACCCTGAAGAGCTCCTCCCTAAGCTAGAAGAAAAGCAAAGAAAGCAGAAGCTGCAGCATGACACAACAGCGAAGGAACTGCCACCATTGAGGAATGGTGAGGTCGTAAGAGTTAGAGAAGGCAACAAGTGGAAACCTGCTACAGTTACACAGGTTCTTCCCTCACCCAGATCGTACAAGGTTGAAACAGAGCGTGGAGAATACCAAAGAAACCGTCGACATTTATTAAGAACTGAAGAGTCTCAGATCCCGGAAATCACCCCTACACCGGACGTCTCGAATGATGAGGACCTGACAGACACCGAAGTTGAGCCACCCTCTGTTACTGTGGCCCACGAGAATCCTGGAACACCGCCAGCTGGAATGTCTATGGCTACTACCACGCGGTCTGGTCGGACAATTAGAGAACTGCAGGAATTTAAGGACTATGTGAAGTATTAGACACAAATCAAACAATTTGTAGCTTTTCACGAAGGTTTTCTGTTTCAGTTTGCAAAAAGGGACACATTCCTCCCGCTGCAACATTATCTCAAGTTTCTCTTGTCGTTACAGTTTGTTTGTTAACATCAGTAATTTCAGCTTTCTTTGTTTCTTAAAAAAGGGGGAGGTAGTATCAGGTCAGCGGTTATATTTAGCGCATGCCTACTGTGATAAAGTGTGTTCATATGCATCCGCCATCTTGTGTGTGTTGTGTCCTTTCGGAGAACACTTCACGCAGATTCTCAAAATCAGGAAAAAGAGGTGCTACTCAGGAAAAAACCTTTCAAAACATTAATACTATTCGTTAGTACCATCAAAAAGTGATCACATTTCATAACATTTAAAAATTACAAACTTACGGCAGAGATGGACCACCTCCTTTCTCTTTGCCTTGTTTCTTCATCAATGCTTTTTTCTTTCCTTGACCTGCTTCAGCGTCTTGTGGGGTCTTAGCAGGTTTTTGGTACCAGTGTCCATCTTTTCTCGTGTTCTGGCAACAGAAAATAGGCATACGAACTACGTGTTATTTTAAATAACCCGTAACTGATGAACGTTATAATTACATATTTTTACAGCCTTCAGCCCACTTACGGCCATCAGTTGAAGCTTTTAGAATTACATGCTAAGGGGAAACTCATCATATGAAATGAGCGTTAATAAACCTTAACGTGCCCGCTCGTGTGCAGAAAAATTTCCTCCCTGTTCATTCCTATCTGATTTGAGCTTCGTTTCGTTTGAGTTTGAACGTTAAACCGAAATTTGCGTATAGCTGTCGTATTTGCCTATAGGAATTCTTCATTGTTTTTAAGCCTAAAAACAATTAAAAATTCCAACAGGCAAATGTGGTAGCTATGCGCGTATGTTGCAAATGAATCCACCGTAAATAAATAATACTTAAAATTTAAACGGATTTGATTTCATTAAATTCATTCACCCCTTGTAACCTTTAAATTGTAACTCGTGTACAGTGTCTACTATGTCACGAGGAAATTGTTGTCTTAGGTCAATCCTGTGCTGAATTCATTACTTAGTGCACTTACTCATAAACAAATGCTCATTTAGTGTTTTGATGAAGATATCAAACAAATGCCATTAAGAAGCATTAACCAAAATATTTTTTTGTAATTTTTGCAGGCACAGCATTTCAAAGAACTTGAAAAAGTTGGCCCAATTTATTCAAGTTTCAATCTACACTCATCCTTATCATCCGTTGCAACAGACGAAAGGAAACAGACTCAATGCCTAAATATAACGTTGAATAACAAAATTGGGCCCTTATTTTGGAAATTCAGTTGATACAAGGACACGTTTTAGCGTGACATAGCCCCTTCAAAATTCTTTACAAAAAAAACATTCATCTTTTATCCTGAATTCCATTCAGAGCTATCTCGTTTATAACGGCCAGCTGACTTTCGACCATCAGTCGGAGCTTTCAAACTAGCCCTCCCCCAAGTTTTACACCGAGGCATCAAGCTAGCAACTGGTAGAAATTCCACGAACGAAATTCCTTTTTGCACAGCAGAGGGTAAGCACCCAGAGCTTACGTATCGTTGGGCATTTCCAGAGAAAATGCAATAAGGGCTGCAATTCGATTAAGAGCTAAAATCATAGTCATGTCATTGACACGCAATATTCATTCCAATCGCAAAAAAAATATATAATATCATAAAAAAGTTCAGTCTATGTTTAATCCATGTGTTATAAAGAATTTACAATAAATACCAAGCTCTTTAAGTATAAATGGTTCAAGGGTGGAAGGTACGCCTACAAAAATACTGCGTCGAGCCATCTAAAGGTCTCTCTTCCCTATAGCGCGCTCAGTCTTTTCAGTCTTTCGTACACTTCTTTACGCTCCTCGCCCATAATAATAATAACAATAATAATAATAATAATCTGTTATATAGCGCTATTTACACATACAGATCAGTAGCAATTCACATTAAAAGAACTCTCTTCAAAATAACGCACTCAATCTTTTCGGTGTTTCGTACACTTCCTTACGCGCCCAGCCCATCTCTCCGCAGCGATAAACTACTCTCTACCAGGGGCTCCCCTCTCTTACCGCCTCGTGCTGAGCCTCCCATACATTCTTGGCATTACAGGCATTGTTTGCGGATGGTCCCACTGAGAATACACCACGATCTGTGATATAGGAATCTGACCAAATTCAATGAAAGTGCTTTAACGGCACTCGGGGTACTCATTACGCAGCAAAACCTTCTTTTGATCTTTGAAGTTAGATCTAATATAGATGACAGTTAGTGCTTTAAACGTTTTCCAGACCAAACGAACCCTTGCAAACTCGTACGTGGCGTATTCGGGATCGCTACATGAAACATTTTCCATGCAGATTTCTCATGCAATTCTTACCGATGCTACACTTCCGTTGTCTTCATTCATTTGTTCACTCAAAGGATGATCAAGGACAGTGTCACTTCTGGCAAGTTCTTCTGGAGCAGCCGATAACACAAGTGCAGTGGATTCTACTTTCTCCTTCTGGGTTGTATCTACGTTTTCAGTAGCCCGTCTTGAGTCTCCCTCGTTCACTATGTAACCCTGTAACCGAAGTATACAAAAACTGAATGAATCAAACTCGTCTGCAAACCATCTCAGAGCAAACTCAATGTTGAAACTGATGGCGAAACAAGCTCAAAGAAAACAAGACGCTATGGAGCGTACACTTCGGCGTCGTGGTTGTGGAACTGATTAACTGTAAATTCAGAGGAATAGTAAGAAATGAAATATCGTAAGAGTGAGGTGTTAATTTGTGAAATGATGGGATTTGCCAGGACATTCTGAAAAAAGCAACATCCAAGAGGCCTACTTGCCAAAAACTAGCATTTCAGGACAAATTGTCTCTGAGATATTAGCCCAGTTATGCTCTGATGACTCCATACAAATCCTTCTCACTTTGACTTGGGTCTAAACGTTTAAACGGTGAATAACAAGTCTACCAAAACAAATAGTGGAAAAAGAATTCTCTATTTTTCTTAGTCACGTCAGGCTTCAAAAACAGCATAGCAGTCTCATGTACTGATTAAAGATATGTAAGGCATGGGTAAGGAGTTAATCACGTTGAGCATGGAATTGGCTAAAACTAAATGTTTCGAGTCCGAAAGTTTTGAGGATAATTATTCACCGACTATCAGCACGCAGGGATGTCGGGTTAACACAAGGAAGTCTAATACCAGAGGAACATAGCCTTTACAGAGCTTTAAAACACAGCATTCGCCAACACAAACTTGACTTGATGTTAAGTAAAACTAAACAGCCTCTGCCAATAATAACACACTCTCACTTGAACTTCAGATGACTTACGGCTTCCGCCAACTTGTAAACACAGAACTTGAAAATCGACCTTCGTCACACTTGACTAAACACAGAAGTCCAGCTTGTGGGAAAAAACTTAGTTCGTCAAAAGAACTCGCTTGAAACTTGTATACCGTTTGACATAAGGTTCTAGAAAATACTAAACAGGCGAAAAGTAGTAGCAATTCGACATATTTTATGATTTCAGTAACTCATGCAAATCTGCTGACTCATGCTGAAATGTAAACATGCCCTAATTAATGATTCATGAATAATCCAAAAACGTAGAGGACGTTCGAGAAAGTCACGCAACGCATGAAAGCAATTTTACTACGTAACACTCAACAAAGACAAAACGTCTTTGTGTTGCATTTTGTAACTTTAAATTCATCATAAAACAGTTCGAAAGGAGCGCTCACTTGTGAAATGGTTTTCAACACTCGAAGAGAAATTTCGAGTCTCTGCGCGGCCATGAATATCCTCTTTTGATTCCTCGAGTAAATTAAAGACTAAACAAGATATTAAGAAAAAGTCCGGTCTCATTTCGTGAAACAGCCGAAACAAGCCGAAAAGTCACGAAATTGCACGCCCAATCTTGTCCCGAAACTAGTGCATCATTTCATAACTATTTTTCATTTACCGACCTACCTTGGGTCGCAGTAGAGCAATCGGCTAATCCCTCAACTTAGAATCTCCTCTGATCTGACGGGTCACACAGGTGAGTCGGTTCAAACCCCGGGAAAGCCCAAATAATAATTCTTTCTTCCACGAAAAAGTTATAGAATAAATCAAAGAAAACGAAGTGATCTCGAGATATCTCGAACTAATTCGGCTCTCACTTCGTCAAATAGCCGAATAAAGCCGAAAACCTACAGACTTTCGGTGCCCAATCTTGTCAAAAAAAGGCAACTTCGATACATCCCTGAGCGTCGCGAATCCTTTACTTCGCGCTCCGCCGAAGTAATTAAGAACTCATGCCACCGCCATGCTTAGCTGTTCACCAACTCAACGCAAAATCTCAACGACACGATGAACCTTGAGCCTTATTTGTGTCCAACTTCCAGTGTTCCCCTGTGGGACAATTCAGCAAACTAAATTATCGCGTTGTAACCACAACAATCGGAGTATTCAACAGTCCTTTTCAATGAATAGGGTGCAATCCACTAGCTCTGATTAGGCCGTCATTTAGACCTAAAACAACGAAATCGGCCCAGAAAATTAGTTGAAAGAGTAGACTCTCACCTCTAAAAACAGAAAAAAGCCAAAAAGCCGTAAACTCCTTCACCACCCTCGGACTATATGCTTTTATTCAATTTTCGTTTGCCTGTAGGGTTACACAACTAATCCCTCGTGTGCTGTCTACGACGGCCACACCATTGTCACCAAGTCAAGTTGAAAACCCGGATGCACACACTATAGCCAAATCTAAATGAAGATATGATCGAATCTGTAGTGCATACAATATTGTTCACTCTCAAGACGAGTGACTACTCAGTCGGAAGGCAAGGTCGTGAAGAATTTGTCTTGTTGAGACCGACGAACTTACCTCGATTCCTCCCTCTGGCATTTTTGTCCTTTGATCAGGAGTTTGTGTAGTTGGATCATCTCTTCCCCTCCTGTTCTGAGAAGCTTGAGAGCTTTTATTCGGGTCAGTACTGCCATTTGCTTTTCTAGCTGCTTGAAGGTGAACCCCTTCTGCTCTTTTATCCTCTGAAATGGCCTCGGCGTTTAGGCACTGCTGACGGTCTACTTGCTGATGCTGCTGTTTCGTCGAGGATGAAGGTTGCTGCTGCTGCTGATCGAAGACTTGCCCTCCAGGAGGTGGCTGTTTTTGTTGGTTCTGTTGCAGTTGCCGGTGTTGGTTGTAGTGTTGATGACCTGTAGGCGGCATTTGCTTGTGTTGATTGTACTGTTGCTGATCGGCGGATGGCATTTGCTGGTATTGGTTGTAGTGTTGCCGATCTGTATGTTGGTTGTGGTGCTGCCAATCTGCAGATGACATTTTCTGGTGTTGGTTGTAGTGCTGCCGATCTGCAGAGGGCATTTTCTGGTGTTGATTGTAGTGTTGCCGATCTGCAGATGGCATTTGCTGGTGTTGATTGTAGTGTTGCCGATCTGCAGATGGCATTTGCTGTTGTTGGTTGTAGTGCTGCCGATCTGCAGATGGCATTTGCTGGTGTTGATTGTAGTGTTGCCGATCTGCAGATGGCATTTGCTGTTGTTGGTTGTAGTGTTGCTGATCTGCAGATGGCATTTGCTGGTGTTGATTGTAGTGCTGCCAATCTGCAGATGGCATTTGCTGGTGTTGGTTGTAGTGTTGCCGATCTGCAGTAGGCATTTGCTGGTGTTGGTTGTAGTGTTGCTGATCTGCAGATGGCATCTGCTGTTGTTGGTTGTAGTGCTGCCGATCTGCAGATGGCATTTGCTGTTGTTGGTTGTAGTGCTGCTGATCTGCAGATGGCATTTGCTGTTGTTGGTTATAGTGTTGCCGATCTGCAGATGGCATTTGCTGTTGTTGGTTGTAGTGCTGCCGATCTGCAGATGGCATTTGCTGTTGTTGGTTGTAGTGCTGCTGATCTGCAGATGGCATTTGCTGTTGTTGGCTGTAGTGTTGCCGATCTACAGGCAACATTTGCTGGTGTTGGTCCTGCTGTGGACGTTGGGGAAGTTGCCGCCTCTGCTGCGGCTCCTGCTGCTGCTGGGTGAGAGTTGGATCATGGTGCCGCTCCACTGGCCTCACTTGCTGCTGACGATACTGATCCGTTATGATTGAACTTTCAGTTTTGACACTTTCGCCTGTTGGGTTTTCTCGTCTCCTGTCAGCAGTGCCTTTTATATCAATAGCGCCAAGTCCTTTGTCTGCTGGCGGGTTTTTTGACTGGTCTGAATTGATAGCAGCTGCAGAGCTATGCTCATCACTTTGAGCCGCTGAGAACACATCATGGTTACTGACTGTGGCTCTTTCTCCCTGATGTGAGTTGTCACCTATATTTTAGTAAAACAAAGTGATAAATCATTAAAACCTGGTTCGTGTTAGTTAATTAACATTTCGAATGGAAAAGTCCTTCCACATCTTTATGTCATTAAAGGCAGTCTTGTAGTCCTTATAAATAATTAAAATTGATCGATCCTTTTTTGAGGGGGACCTCACAGAAACCTCTCTTATATTAACCTCTCAGGTCGCACTGAGGTGTGGTTCAGAAGAACTGTCAACTTAGTATGGCTGGAAGGTGGCGTTACGTTTCGAAAATTTCCATATACGTGCTCACGGTTTCACGGAATCGTCACGGCTTTAATTTACACCCATTTGCGCCTTTCACCATATCGTTAAAACTTGAATGTATGTGACATGTTCAAACCACACCTTTGCAAGGAGCAACAACACAGGGAAAGCATCTAGAGCTGCCTAAGAATTAGCCTTTAATTTTGAAGGAAACTCTCTCGGCTGAAGGTATTTTAATTCGACAACTGGCAGCTAACAGCATACTTTGTTGTTCACTTTGATTGTATGCTTTTTGCTTGTTTGTTTGTTTATTTGTTTTAGTTGAGCTTAGTTTTTCGTCCGTATCAGCATGCCAGGATGGAATCGCTTTGTCGGAGGGATGAGGCTCTCTTCACATAAAAGCCTACATGGATTCAAAACTGGTTGAAGATGATATCATGATGCATCAAAGTGTTAATTTGGCTGTGTGGACAACAATTGCTATCCAGATCGCTAGCCTTTTAAAGTACAAAACAAGAGTTATTTTGAAGGTTTATGGATCAACAGAAGAATTTACGCCAACGCGTTGCTGTAAGAGGACACAATTGTTATTGTAGTTTAACTGTCTACCCTCATGTATGTTGATTACAAAAGAAGTTCAGTTGTTCTTCTATTTTACTGTTATCCACAGGGATTGATCGAGGAGTAGTGCAGCCTACTTGCTGGTGGTTGTGAGGTAAGAGAAAAATCAAATTTTGCCCACGATATTGTTTTAATTGGGGTTATCTTTCTTTAAATTTGTAACTCGGTGGAACTTGTAGAACTAGCTGTGGTCTTACATTATACTTTAACACTAACAAAGTCTGTTTGATAACTTGTATAATATCTAATAAAGGTGTGGATATTATAATAACATTATTATTATTACTATTGTTATTATTTGTTATTACATGGATTATGTAGCACAGTATCTTCTACTGGGCATCTGGATTTCTACCCAGCTATAATCACACGCTAAATTATATTAGTTTACCAATGTTAAGATAGTAAAGGGGAGGGTGTATAAAATGCGAGCCTCCGATTCATGCGAGCCATGCAGTCCATTGAAGAATCATTGAAAAAACACCCTAAAATCGAAAACAGTAATACGGAAAACATTACCTGAACGCTAACCGTTGTAAATAGGTGTTTAACCCTAAACAGCGCTTAACCCTAACCCTAAAATAAGTGCTTAACCCTAATCCGTAAAATGAAAGCTTAGCCCTAATCAGTACAATGAGTGCTTAACCCTAATCAGTACAATGAGTGCTCAACTCCTCATCTGTAAATTTGCCGTTTTTACTTGTGTTTCCTTTATTTTTTTACCGATGCCTCGCGTGACTCGCATGGCTCGCTGGCTCGCAGTTTGTTAAGACCCGTAAAGGGGGAAGATATTTATATAAGCACAAATTTAGAGGGGCACAACTGCTCAGATCCAACAAAATTCAAATCGGACATATTCATTCTGATAAAAAATGGGAGTGTGCAGCAGGCGAGGTTAAGGGCGTGGGGAGAACAGAGGGCACGAAATCATGTTGTAAAGGATTTATTTAACAGTTGCTTGTAGATACAGTGTACGATACAGCTGCAAGCTAATGTGAAATGCTTTACTGAATTAAACATCATTTTGCAGAACATGGAAATAAGAGGGCATTATTTATCAATATTATTGTTAAATACTTGCAAACCCCGCTACTAAGTATCAGTAGCATAGGATTTGCAAGTAGCTAGTTAGGAATTGAATGTGCCGTGATTTAATTTCCCTGTCTTCTTTCGCCGGGCCTTAAACCTGCAGAGCACTACTCGCTCTATTTTTCTTTACATCTTTTTGGGTGAACAAAGCACAAAAAGCGAGTGTGCAGTGAATGATACAACGCCTACATCATCTACCATAATTTCCTGCCTACACTGTCATAACAATTATTTAGGCAAAAAAAAAAAATTGCTCGTATTGTGAAGAGAGTGTAATTCTGCGATATATCAGGAACAATTCCACAACATCCCAGCCAATCAACAGAATAACTCATATATAGGTTACTTGAAAATACATTGATTAAATCGTTTCCATATAGCTCTATCTATAGCTCCTTGGCATACAAAGCTTTGCTTTCATGTCCAAATTGAGCACTCTTCTAGAATGACTGTCATTGCCGCAAGCATTGGGCATGCTCATAAGTCTACTAGTTTGAGCACTCTGGCATGGCTTAGATGATACCACAAGTGTGGCATCATTTGGGGTGGCTATATAGCTTTATCACCACCCTTGCACCAGCACAGCACTGATGGGGCCCAGAAGACCAAAGCAGTACTGTCTGCAGTTACCTCTATCTGTATATATGAGTAGAAACCAATGGCTGTGCAGATATTATGGGTGACTGCATGTATTGCAGAAGAAAAAATAAAATACAACATCATCTAGCAGCCGTGATTACTTAAAAACTGCAGAAGATGGTGAACAGTAATTCTTTAATTGGCAAATTCATTAAATCTATTTGCATAGCTGCATGTTTTATTAATGCACAATAAATACCCTGATGTTTACTTATCTTTTTAATGATCACATTGATCCTCTAATTATCAATATTGACAAATCTATTCCTCAGAAGCAGTTAAAGGTCTCTTCAGTTATATATTTCCTCAATCATCATATTTTTGCTTAAAAAACAGTTGCCAAAATGGGAAACAGGTGATGATCATGATATCAATAAGACAATTGGATAGCTGCATTTATTTAGACTGCGAGCAGTAGATCTTATTTTTCTTTGCAAAGTTACTGCACGCAAAACCCAAGCACGCGAGCGACCACGAGCTGCAATAAATGATGGCGTCAACCCAAAAAGAAAAAAATCAGAGACTGCTGACTCTTTTGTACTGTCTGACAACGAGGCTATCAAGGTAATTAAATTAACCAATTACACCTGAGTAACTTGAAACAATTTATAAACAGAACATAAAGAACTGAAAAATTACACTTTCTTTAAATCTGGTAAGATTGCTTTGAATTCTATTCCCTTGAAAAAATTTACAGCAGTTTCCGTCTGTAAGATATCCTTAAACGTTTCAGTTTACAAGCAATTCCCGCTTGGTTATTGTTTGAAGTTAGTTGTAACGCGTGACTATTTTTATCACTTGCAACATCACCACAGGGCAGTCAATGATCTGCCAACAGCAGTAAACTTGACCAATCCCTTACTCCGTTTCTGGGCTGACAGATTGCTTGTTTACTACAAAAGAGTCTGCAATGCATCTTATTTCGTCTGGTCCCACATAACGTCATAATGTTGTGGTTTGCAATCACACTAGCTTAGATAAGAACTCGATAGATTTTAAGAGAAAAGGTGGACTGCAAGCAGTCTACATTTATTACATTAACAGTGGAAGAGCACAAACAATAGTGTGTGGACAGGCATTATATTTTCTGCGGCTTCCCCTATTGTGCGTGTCTGGTGCTCCTGTTCACTGGTGCTTGCCTCCCAAGGGGGAACTCAACAAAATTCCATACAGCCTCAGGCTCAGGCTCTGCCCCAAGGTCCAACCCCAATACCATTTTATATACCATTTTTGACAGAAAAGGTAGCCCATTGGTATACCTTCTAATGACAAATGGTACCTCTTTCACACACCTAGTTAAGAACTTTGTATTAAGCCTTTTAACTGCTGTAAATGCACTGTTCTTAAAATATGAATAAATCACAAAAACAGGACTTTGTCTCAACTTTTTCACAGCAATAAAATGCATCTGTTAGCCCTTTTGAGCCTTTTTACAGACCAAAATGTCAGGTTTCACGACCCTTTCATATACCTGAAGCCTCAAAAAGGTTCACCTTTTGGGCACAGCTTCCCTGTAGGGGCCATTATAGGGACTATCCCTCTCTTACCACAGGGCTTGCCTTCACTCGTCCGAAAAAATGCGCAAAAATAACACCTGAATAGCTAGCAAATGATCAATAAGTGATCAATCATCAAAGTTTTGAGGAAAAAGTGAGTGAGCCGTCTTTTATTAAATTTCTTCCGGGTGAGGTACGTATCAACCCAAAATGTCCAAGTTGCCACCTATTAGTTTTCGGGGGATTAAAAATCCCCTGGGGACCACGACAGGCAGCTGCAAGCTAGCGGAACAATAATGTCACTTTCAGTTTTGAAATTTTTCTCGTAAGACAAAAATAGGTTCCGCCGACGAATCAGGCGAATAAATCCTAAACTTGCATCAAAAATGGAATATATTTACATATAAATGATGTAACTAAAATGACTGTAAATGTTTTAGTGCGAGTTCACCGTCAAAGAGTGGATATAATTCATAAAATATCGAACCCATCTCATCCAACAGGGCTAGTGTAAATGTTCCTCATAAAGTCTCAATACTTCAATTACATACTAACAGGTAGTGGAATGCTGAATAAAGCCACCTTTTGGTTTCAAGAAACCGGCCGCCTTAATGATCCTTAAAAAGTCAACCATGCATGCGATCTCCTCCGACTCGCTACGCTGTAAATTATAAAATTATCTTCTAGAAAAATGGAATTTTTGAAATTTAATGTGGTCATGCATAAAAGAACTTACCTTCAAATCGGCCCTTATCTACTCTCAAGTTGCTCTTGTCTCCTGTATCAGTTAGCTGTGCAAGTGAACTTTCTTGGGCGATGGCTTCCCTTCCGTCTTTCGACGTTCCTGAGCTCGAAACCTCTGTTGTAGAAGCACGTGGAAGCTTCGCACCGCACTCTGGACAGCACTTAAACTTCGGTAGCAAGTCTGTGTTTCCACAATCAGGACACTCCATCTTTTAGAGTGCGCATTATATTGAAAAGAATCAAAATGGATTTCACGAAATTAATTGACAGAGGTCAATAAAGTCTGCTTCTTCCTTCAGACTGAAATGAATGAAATCAACATCACTTTGTGTATGCTGTAATTCTATATCCCGCTGCGATTTCTCAGAAATTCGCCGGAAGTGAGCGGGGAATAACCCCGCGATCATAGATCAAAAATAACCGGCGATTTGATTCTAAACAGCTGACAAGCGATTCGGCTGCGAATAAAAATGATCTTAAGGCAGATGGGTGAGCGGGGATTTAGGAGAAGGTGTGTGTGTGTGTCATTTTTTTTTAAGGTCCACTTTTATTTTCGGGGGGGTGGGGGAGAGCTTGTATCTTGTAAAGTATAAAAATTACTTGTACAGAGGGGTAGGAACTTGAGGAGAAAATTTTCAACAACTCCCCCACGCCCCGCCTACTTAACCTCGCTAACCCTGCTGGCAAACCTCGGTTTGCCAGGTTAGCAAGATGATCTTCTCTGAAGGGGTATCCCTCTGGAAAACTTGTACTGTGTATTATACTGTATTATACTGTATTATACTGTGTATTATTCTCCACCCAAAAAATGTCACTCTACATCAGCAGGTGGACAACCCTGTTATTTTTCTTAGGTATGTTTCGCCTTCCAGTATTTTGCTTTAGGGAAGTACCCCAGGATGGATTCAGAAAACAAAATTGAAAAAACCAGGATTCAAAAACCAATCAATTGACTAGAAACAAGAGCCATGATGGGGACATTATAGCTCTTGTCAGAAATGAATAACGCTTTATGCATTTCACTTCCACAGTTTGGTAAATTTTCTCACTCATTACATAACGAGCAGATAATAAATTAGCCTTCAATTTCCTCGTAAAACGTGGATAGACTATGTATTTTTTTGCTCCGCGGCGGGGATTTGGCGAGAGGCAGCATTAAAAGAAGTCGTTGAAGTATAGGACAATTCACTTACAGTTTTAATAAACAGTTGGAATACCAGATCAAATCACGATTAGCATTAAAGTAATATGGTCGCAAAAAGAACGGGGCGCGCAAGGACACGCGAGGGAAGTCCTAACCCTCATGTTTAGGATGCATGTATTGGGCAAGTACAATTTTTCTTTCATGAGTTTCGTTGAGGAAAGTTGAGGAAGTAGAAGAACCCGCCACTAACGACAGCAACGAAATCGAAGAAGTCAAATCATTACATCTACCTCCCTCGGTCAATGCATCTCCATGGATTCCTCCTCGAAGGAACAAGAGATCAAACATCGTATCACTCTCGTGATGACAATCTTTCGGTAGAGCGATTGCGATATTCAAAAACAAAGACATTCCGATAGTTCTTAAACGCGAGGTTTACGATCAGTGCATCTTATCAACAGTCACCTACGGGTCTGAGACCTGGAATCTTACGAAACAACAAACGCTGAAACTCAAACTATGCAGAGAGCCTATGAAAGAATCGTGCTAAACATAACTTGGCGAGATCGTAAAATAGCCTGCGAGCAAGCTCTCCTATTTGGGCGAGTGAAACGAGTCTCGCGAGAACGCGCGGGCGAGCGGCGAAGCCGCGAGGGGCGTTCGCGGGTTCTCGCGAGGCTGGCTTCGCTTGCCCAAATAGGAGAACTTGCTCGCAGGCTAATCGTAAAACAGCTCAATGGATCGGAGTAAAAACCAAAGTACGAGATCAAGGAACCAAATGGAATTGTGCTGGTCATGTGGCGAAAAGAACAGACAACCGTTAGACAAACCGCATTATATTCGTTCTGGATGCCCCGGAGGAATCGAGGAAGACCAAGGACGACATGGAAGGACGGCTCAGATAGTTTCGTAGAACACTGGCACCGTGTCGCGCGTGGTCCCGTGGAGGTCAATGGCGAAGGCCTACGCCGTCCAACGACTGACATTCAACGGCTGAAACATTAAACATAAGTTAATAGAAGCAGGTAAGTGCTGATACGCGCTAAGGAGCTTAAGAAAGGAAGGATACAATCAAGGTAAAAATGATCATTTATTTCAAACCTTAGTTATACCGAAGTTATTGTCGGATGGTTTATCTGTGTATGCAGCCTCTATATCTGAGCTTAATACTGTCCAGCAGTTCCTTCACAGGTGCCACAAACGTCGCTACATATCTCATGCTATAAATACTACAGTATGACTTGCTCGAAAAACCGACGAGTCAATTTACAGAAAGATAGGCAGCCAGCCTACCCATCCTCGGTATACTAGTCTACCTAGAGTTAAAGAATCTTCGAAACGTTTTTGAAAAGAACCCAAACAAGCCAGTTTCGCTGTATTGATACAGAACGTTTCAAAACAAGTTTTATAGATAGACTGTATTTTACGTATTCTTTAGCTTTTGAATTGTTGTATTTTATTTATTTCTTGTAAATACTGGTGCGTACTTTTACCAGTTCGATAATAATTCGGCTCTTTTTCTGGGGAAGATGATAGGAAAAGGCCGCCTCACTCTACCCCTCCCGTCGTTTCCTGGGCATGTTCTTTTCAGGCCTTTATCCCAGTCTTCCAATGATACAAAGAGGTCACTATTGATTCACTATTGATTCGAGAAGCAGTAATCCGGCGAGGAATTTAAGAAAACTTCAGTTGTAATTTGTTAATTCAGCCAATTTAAAGATAAAAGCACAATAAGCATATCAATTTAAATAAAGATAAAAACAAACGCTAAAAAATAAGTTAATTTTTCAACGACGAAAAACTAAGACTGTCTCGTTTTGTTTTGTTTTTTTTTTTTTATAAATTTTGCCTCATCTTGTTGCTTTCTTTCCCCCTTTTACTACGCCCATGTCTCGCTTTGAAAATGTCTTGTTCTTTCTAAAGTTTTGAGAAATTCTTCGGCTGTTGTTGCATCCATTGCTCCTTCTTTCCTGAATATTTCAAGAAGAGCTTCTGTAACATCTGCAGGCATCCGCTGCGAGTTTCTGCAAATAAAGAATGAAGAAAAAATAATCAAAAACCTTGTTAATGACAACACGACTAACAAGGTTATTGTACCCTCTACTAAGATCCAATCTTATTCCTGGCGAAGGATAACTTTTCTGTTCGCCCCATGGAGAAGAAATCCAAGACAGCCTTGGATTCTGGATTCCATACCGTGGATTCCGGATTCCAGGTACTGGATTCCAGTCTTTGTCAGTAGAACTTGAATTCTGGATTCAATAGTTAGTGGGATTTCGGATTCCAAAAGGAAAATTTTCCCAGAGTCCGAAATCCGGATTCCCTTACATGGGAGCAGTTTTGTAGTCTACAGAAAGGTTCAAGTCCTACTATTGACAAAGTACTTTACATACCCTGCTATGTAACACCATCCTTGTTTGTGAGCTAGGAGATCCCAGACAAGAGAGCTGTTCTCTAGTAACCGATGCTGAACATAAATCTTGTCTTCCTGTTAAGCGTCAAACATAGAACAAGCTGCACATGAAGAGAACGTACATCGGAAGATAACATAATGTTGTCTTGGTTCGTTTAAGAAAAAACGCACAGCAAAACTTAAACCAAAAAATTCAGTTCAGAGCAGGAAAAGGGCGTTGCTTAACCTACCTAGGTGGCGGGATCGGCAGCGCGAGCAAACTTGTAGCAGGGAAGCTGTGAAGCCGTGCGGGGAATGGGGAGGAGGCGCACAGGCTAGACGCTACCAAGGCGCTACACGCGTACAAAGATCAAAAGATATTACAAAAGTAGGGCTTACATGAAGCACAATTCCAACGCAGAACCACTCAGAATTTCCACTTTATGGTAACTTATATGTACTCCGTTTTCACTGTCAAGGCTTAGCAACAACGAACCCTTACACATTACGATGATGCGACAGAGGTGATTGGACTGACTGATTTGTTTTCGTTTTTTCTCACCTGATCTCTTGAGAAAGCCGTGAACAACTGTAATTTTCCATCTTTAACAAGTGGCTGCCATTCGTCTTTGAAAAAGAAGTCTTTTTTGCTATTTCTACAGCCAAAGAACAGCACACATCCTGAAAAAATTAGGGAACGATCATATCGTTCGATAATCGTTATTAGAATTTAACAATCAAGTTCCATACTTATCAAATAACATCTTACCCCCGGCAGATTGTGATACTCTTTCTTCAATGAAACCCCTAAATGGCGCACAGCCAGTTCCTAAACGAAACCAAAAAACAAAGCATTAAAAACAATGTAAGAATTGTCGGTGTCAAAATTCTTGAATGAATTCTCAAATTCTACCCTAAATTTCCATATAGCAAACCATATTGTGTCATGAAAACCTTAAAATGCTTCTTTTAGCCGCCACTGTCTAAATAATGCACTATCCATCGAACACAACGCAGTAATTCACTTTTAATTACAGGTCGGTAGGCTTGGATATGGTTTCTTACACCAGTGACCCCCCCCCCCGGCCCACCCTTCCCGCCTTAAAAACGTCCGGTGTCAGAGGCTAAAAATATCAGACAGATGTTTCCTTACAGAGAATTGGTAGAGGTGTTGTGTATGATGTCCTTGTCATTGAACTTTTCTCACTTTTTTTCCTGTCAGAAGTATGCCTGAAACGCCTATATAACTGGCTATAGAAAATACTAATTCATTTGCATGGACGTTTAAAGACGTAAGTGAGATGCCAAAGCAACAGTGAAAAAAAAACAGCGCAAAAGTTAAGAGAGCGTTTATATTCACAGTGTGATATTGCAAGTACCTGGACCAATCATAAGACAAGGTGCATCTAAGGCCTTAGGGAATGATATTGTGCCTTTCTTGATCCACACAGGAACGCGTAAGTCCTTGTTGGAACAATCTAGAGAAGCTAACCACGTTGAACAAAGGCCTCTTCTTGGTTTAACTAGTTTAGTTTTATAGTTAACTACAGCCACAAGAAGCTGCACTTCATCCGGATGTGCCTGTCAAAGAAAAAGGATAGCATTAACTTCCGTACGATCCTTAATACAGGGTAAAAAACACACAGAATGAAAAGTAGAAAACGACAAAGCGTTTCCAGCGTCCTTTTCTGTTAGTTTTATTGTCAGAAAGTCTGAACCAATTAAAAGACGTTTTACTCGAGTGTGCTGAGCTCCTACTAAAGGGTCAGACATTTCCACCGACATAATGCGGGCTCGTCAAATTTTTTAACATCTCTAAGTTTCATCCAAGTCAGTTCGATCATCCAACTGTTTCTTTCATGAGCATTTTCTTTCTGTGGCGCAAAATTACCATCAATCTTTAATTAATAAAGATTAAAAAAACGGCAAAAAACATTCCAGTTACGAACTCACTTACGCCGAAACACAGTCTCCTTCGACACTTTCCCCTTGGTGCATTTGTGGTAGAAATGTCTGATAACTAAGCCAGGCTTTAAATTTTCTCGCTTTCATTTTGTACTTAGAGTTAGGATATCTCTATTACTAAACCGCCAAATGCAACTAAGAGTCTTACATTTAATAGAACAATTTTTCGACCGTGAATGTGGACCTTTGTTACACTTACCATGAGCGAGGAGGCAATTGAGAAAGCTCGCGGCTGAATCGGTGGAATGAGATCAAACAGATACTCCAACGGAATGTTTGCGCTTGCACCTGGAAAATCTTGAAGAACCTATTCACAAAAAAGAAAACGAGAATTTCTTATGACAGATCCCTATGCACAATCCTATAGAGACTACAGTTATTTAGTATTAGAAAGAAGTGTACGCTTCGCTCTAAGGGGCAGACCTGGAAGACTGATCCACTCTAGTCTCTAGTCCTTTCGCTACGAACTCACCAGATGTAACAAATCCACACACATTTATTACCAAGAGCCATAATGGCTCTTGTTACTACTCTACAGACTTCCATACTTTGCCCGAATCCTCGCACTTTTAGGGCCATCTAGTAAAAGTATTAATTTAACGTAAAACCCGTATGAAATTATTATCCTGCTGTTGAAGGTAACCAAGCACAACAGTCACAGGGTACATACCGTGTGGCACAAAATTTTTGCGGGAGTTTTTTTTGCGAGATTAGCGATTTTTTGTGTTTTGCGGGAACTAATTTGACAGATTGGTTTTTCTTGCTGGGAAACCAGAATTGATAATATTTTCGTTTTTATCAAGTACGTGCAACAAAAATACATATTTTCAAACAATACTACGGTGTCGGTACCCTATATACATGTATATAAAACCAGTATTTCATTGTACAACGTTTTGATTCTGAAGGAAAGAAACAAGTTGTACTTGAACAGACACTATTTCTTAGTACTGTAATTTTTTGTGTAGCGAATTTAACTTAGAGAATATTTACTCCAAGGTAAATTTTTGCGGGAAAAATGTTTACGGCAATTTTTATTTTCGGGAACTTATTTTTGCAGATCGCCGCAAAAATCGCAAAAATTAGAACCCGCAAAAATTTCGTGCCACACGGTAGGTGAGGAAGCAATATCATTACATTCCCATTAGACAACATGGACAGGATGCTAACCCATCGCAGAATTATCCTCAGCATTGATACACCTGGCCGGAGAGAAACAACGAGAAACAACAAGATACCCCGAGCGTTATGATACTAGTACTCATAATATACCTCGGAACAAGAGACACATTACGGAAATTTTCTTGTGGAGTGAGACAACACAAAACCACGGATAGAAGTGGAACAAAAAGCGTTCAAGTATATCCCCTAATACGCTAGCCTGCGAGCAGGCTCACTGAGCCAGTGACAAGTGACTTGCCCGAATTCAGGGAAAATTATTTTGGGGGCGGAGCCAACATCAAGCGGCCCATTCTCCTCTCCTCTCCTTTTCCTGAACTTGCAAAAGTGACCCTGCTCGCAGGCTACCAACACGCAAACAACCGCCTCACATCGTTTTAACATAGCCTGTGTACAGACGTTTTTTTCTGAGGGAGAGGGGACGTCTGTACACAGGCTTTTTTAGCACTGCAAAATGGTGAAGGAAAAGCCGGATTATTAATAAGGCAGTGTATAAAACCAGCCTACCTCTAACGCAGTCCTTTTCGGCCTATAACAATATGAATAAAGCTCCTCCTGGAAATAAAAGTAAAAATTGCCGTTATAAAAATAAACAGAACAATTCTTGAATTTTTACTGCACGATCACTTAAAACAATCCTAATACCTGCCCCTCAGCTGAGCAAAACTCTTGTAGCTTTTCCTTTTCAAGTTCTGAGGTGGTAAAATGTGAAAGCAGTTCAAAGAAGTATCTCCTTGGAACGCCTTGTATGTCTAAATAATGCTCCACGAGATGCCTGATGGTACACGGTTGAGGAAGCTGATCTGGCAGAGGGATATCTATTGAAAAACAGTCACAGTCACTTTCAGCAAACAGGGTAAACTCTTGGCAGTACCAGTCTACCATAAATTTTCAAATGACTCTTATTATCGTAGCAAGCCGTAGAGGTCGCTATTTTCGAGTAATCATCATTTTTGAGGGTCAAAACGCAGTGAAACAATTCTAGTACAAATGAAGCCGGGAGCCTTTCACCATATGCACGAATGTGGGAACACTTGGTATCAGAGCACAATTATTGTGGACTGAGAACTACAACAAAGATCAATGATTTTTCTGTAAAGTTAGTATGTGAATCATACTAACGCCTTCCATGTTCATGGCAATGGTGATGGTGGTGGTGGTGATGGTGGTGGTGGTGGTGGTGATGATAATGATGATGATGATGATGATGATGAGGTGATAGGCGTAATAATGACAATGACGAAGAAGACTCAGTCACAGATGATGATGACATTCAAAGAATAAACAAATCAATGACAGTATTATGAATGAGAGCAATACCTTTGTTCGCCCAAAAAATACCTGGATCATTCTGCTCAAGAAGGAATGTCCGGTTTGGATCAAGTTCGAAAAAGGTGATAAATTCCTCTACAACATCGGCTAGATTACTAGGCTGCACCATCAGAACATCTCCTGCGGAATGACTAGAACACAAAACCCTGCATTTAGATATAACTTCCTTCTTGCATTGCTAAACCAGGGTATTTTGCACAATTCACATTGATTTACCAATCAATCAGTCGAGCTTTATTCACCCACAGTATTGCATTCATTATAGTAATGCTCATCCAGAAAGCTGTGCAATGTATGCGAGCGTTATCCTTCTTGTGTCTGAATAGCGATTGAGGACCTCTCATTTATTGTCCTTTCTCTCAGGGATACTAAAACGGCTTGTGTCAACAATTTTATTGGGGTTGCAAAGTGTATTGTACCTCATTCCAGAGCCCTTTATATCAAACTGCACCAGTCTGACATCTTGCCAGTGATCCACTGCAGTCACACGATTGTTTGATATAAGTCTTGAACAGAACGGATGTCTTCTACATGGAATGGGATTGGGTTCAACTGTCATAATATAAAAATAAAAATTGAGAAATGTACAGTAAAACCCTGTTTTACAAACACCTGCTTAATAAGAACAGCTGTTTAAAAACCAAACGTTTCCCCAATTTCAATAATGAAAGGCCCTTAAATCAGCCTGCTAAAATGACACTGATTAATATGGACAAAGGACACTTCCAGGTGAAAGTGTATCTTGTGCTACAGCAATTTATTGGACAGGTCTAACTGAATTTTTTAATCTTTTTTTTTGTACTGCAAACCCACTTCCTTTTATGACAAATAAAAATGCAAATCAACTAACCGTGTTTTTCCATAGAGTCAACTTCAATTGCGATTGAGTGATTTGCTGCTTGGACACCTCCATCTACAAACTTCACTCTGTATCTTGACTGAGGCCTGCATAAATATATAGACTCTATCACATGCACACAGTTTCCATGGATACAAATTTTAAACTTTGTTTAGGTCAACAAGAACTCTAATTAAATTGAATGCTCGCTTACCCACAGGAATAACAAAGAAACCAAAGGGGGAAAGGAAGTGAATCCAGATCACAAAAAAATCCCTATTGTCAACATCCTAATTTTTTAAATCTTCTTTCGGCAACCAGAGAGATAAGAACATGTATTATCTGTGGCACAGATTTTCAGTGGTCAGATAAATCCTTTCACAAAGATATGTTGAGCTTGGCATGCCCGCCTCACAGTATCACTGACTTACAAACCCTGGGGATGTCTGCATTGCATTTAGAATCTATCTAATCATAACACCTCAACTTCACGTCATTGATAATATAATTAACTAATACATGTAGTTAATTAAGGCAACTTGCTGACCTCTGACTTGCACTGATAATCCCCTTTCCAGGTGGCAGTGGATACATTTTTAGAACCTTTTCCCACAATTGCTTTAACCAAGGATCAACAACTGCATCTGGCCTACAAATAAAATATTATGCTCTGAGCTGACAGCAGGAGAGAGAACCATACTATAGCATGAATGGCGATGAGCATAACTATGGACACTGTAAATATGTCAAAATCAAGAGAAGCAAAAAGGTAGTAGATGGTAAATGTTAAAAAAATAAAGTATTGAGGTCAGTTCCTTTCGATGATGTTGAAGTTACGATACATTCCATTAGAATGTTACGTAGCTTGCTCGCCTTAGACATACCCTAACTCATGTTGATCATCTGCAAGTCCAAGAGACTGTAGAGCAGTACCACCTAATTGAACCAAACGCTTGTACAGCTTCTTGGCAATAAAATTAAACCTGCACAAAAAAAAACAGTGTTAAAGAACTGACAAATTATAGGTACAATGCGGTGTAATTAACAACAAATACCATTAGTCATTTTTTTCAACAGAATTAAATGATATTTACTCTTTTTTGCTTCCAGGGTTGTCACGTAGATTCCAATTTACTGGGTACTAAATACAACAAGTAGGAAGGGAATCAAACAGCTAGGGGTATCTTTTGGTTCTATTTTTCTCCTATTTTCCTTTGAAAGTAGCCAGGGGCCAAGTTCATGGTAGCCGGGGGAAATCCCCATCCCCTACCTCTCAATGAAAGCCCTGGTTTCACTTACTTTGGATAAGACGAGTCTCCGAGACCAAGCACAGCAAAAGAAACACCAGACAAAGAATTTGATGGGAGGTTTCTTCTAAGCATAAATCTCCAGAATTTCTGTAAAACAATGGTTTTGTTTGGAACCTTAGAGTAAGGTGAAATAAAAATAAAACATGGCCCAAGGAGACCAGCTATAATAATACGCTGATCAACTAGAAACTACAACATCAACACCTGGGGCAAACCCTGGGTATTTGGCCATCACTTGTGCCAGGAGAGTGGAGAATTTGATCATTACCTGAATGGGGAAGAGAATTTGAACCAAAAATGTCAAGTTTAACTTCCTTGGATGATCCAGGTCAGATAACATGGTTTGATAGTTGCAATCTTTCTCACAGTGAGATTGAGGAGTTTAAAGGTAAAGAAACAACTGTTTTAAACAAATGGCTTGTTTGGCAAGGACCTCAAAAGATACATGGATGTGCAACAGAGACAATTATTTAATTTTTGTAGTGCAATTGCCAATCAACATCATGTGAAGTTCAGACCATTCACACAATCTCAAAACATTTCTTTGGGAGGGGTATTTGACCACTACATTGGGCTAATGTAATGGTTAATTGAAGATGTCTGTTTTAAAAAGTTCAAATGCCTGGGGGGGGGAGGGGGTTGTACAGAGGGAGAATGTTCAAGTTTCTAATTGGCCAGCGCATTAGCTTCAAAACAACTTGAAAAGAGAAAATTATGCAACAGCATGCAAATAACTTCATACTTCCCCTCTCAAAAGAAAGCCTTACCACTAGCTGTGAACAATACCTGCTATCATTTTAAGGCAAAGTATGTACAGTTCACTGACATACCAACTTGGTTACCGTCAAATTCCAATTCCCTGCTTCTTTGTTTTTTTGGTAGAAAATAGAATAACAAGCCTATTTATTATTTCATGAAGTTAAATAGCAAGCACAGCTCATGTCTGAGTCAGAAAATGTATGCATAACTAATTATTTCTATGGAGGCCGGTGCAGGAATCTAGAAAAGTTTTCCCAATAAGAAAAGGTATAGAAAACCTCACTATAACCTTCATATTGTCTGGCTCATCTCCCTGGCCAGTCGTAGCACAGACAAATATGACAAGTTCCTCATCAATTAATCTTGTCTGAAAAAAAGAAAAAACAAATTTAAAAAACAAATTCAGTACTCAATCTCACTGGTTTCTTCAAGGTCACAAAACATCTAGCAATAAAACAATTTCCCACCAAAAGTGTTTCTTGTGAGTCGGCTGCAAAATCTGTAACGTAGGAAGGCTATAACAAAGATTTTTGTATTCGAAATCTACTTATGTCTTTGCTGTGCTAGGATGATTGAAACATCTATAAAACGAACACCCACATGACTGTTAAGCTCAAAACGGTATTTCGTTTGGCTTGTGGCAGAAGGCAGGCTAGGTTTAATCAGGGCGTAACTAATCGATATTTTCAATACTCGATAGAAATCGAACGTAATCGATCGTAATCGATACTAATCAATCGATTAATATCGGAAATCGATAGAAATCGATCACTCGCGTCTTTGTGATTTTCGATTTTGATCGATTTCTGTAAGTAGCTATCGATTTTATCGATTTGTTCGACAATGATCGAAATGAAAATGGACGAAGATTCTCCGCGCTCCGATTCTCGGAGAACGGACGACAGTTTGCCAATTTCTACATTAGTGACTCTGGCTATTTACCACGATTCGGACGATTCTAGAGTACAAATTTACAGCAGTGATCCTGGTACAAAAATAAATAAGAAAAGTAGCTACCATTGGAGAAAGAAGTAACATCATCTTTATCAACAAAGTGGATTCGAAGGCAAGCTTGAAGGTAAGTGTTACGCAGTATTGTGATAAGATCAGATCACGTTTTAGATTTTCGATTTCCATAGATGCGACAAAAAATTTGTGATTATCGATTTCAATCGATTAAATTGACTAATCAAACGACAAATATCGAGTACTATCGAGTATTATCGATTAATCCATTACATTTTCCATGATCGATTTCTATCGATTAGTTACGTCCTGGTTTAATTTTAAGATCATTTTAAATGACTGATCCCTCGAAAAAACCAGTCAATTTTGTTTCCCGCGAATCTCACTGTTAGCTACTGGATATTATGAGTCTCTCTGGAAGCAACTTAATTGTTCCCCATGGGTCTAGTCGTTTGTTGAATTTTTAAACCTGAACCGTGAATAAACATTTAAGGTGGCTCCGTAATTAATACAAGAGCATTTAGCTGTAACAAATTTTCCGTCATAACTTTTTCGATTTTAACGCGATGGCTGCGAAACTTTGCAAAGAACAACAGACATCATTCGGCAATAATACGAAACATTCCGATTTCATTGATGGTAAATATTTCTTGAGAAATTAGCGCTTAAAAGGACCCTACTGTTCAAAGGAAATCGCGTCTAGTAAAAAATTTTGCTGATACTTTTTACTGAAATTTCTGGTATCGGCTTTAATTGATATAATAAATATGCCAGAGGAATTTCAGAAAAATCGTTGGAGCAGAAGTCCGTAGCTAAAAGTCGCTCAAAATCTAGCTGTGAAATTGTTTTGGAATTTCAAGAATAAATTACTATCAGGAAGAAGGAGACACCAGTTTGAATTTCCGGGACAAGTAAATTCAGTGTTTGCTAATTCTGAAAACAGAAGCCGATTGCCTATCGTGCTATTCTTTAAAAGGTACTTTTCAGTTTTAGAAGCACTATAAATTTCTCCAAACTTTGCTTTGACCTCAAATGACTTGTTCCTCGACATTTTTAAAATATCCCTTGGCAGTTTTGGTTCAAACTTTTGCTACATACATTTTGATGTATTGCAATGCATCCTCAACGGCTTTTCCTGCTGTACGTTGTTTCCAATTCAGGAAAAAGGTATTGGGATTGTAAGCTACCTTGAATCGAAGCTCAGACAGAACTGACGAGCACCTTTGTTTATGACCAGAAAATGAGCACGAGCGGCAGCTCTGCGAGGAATTCGCACCTCAGCCAGGGGCGACGAATGACAATGATGCCCATGTGTGTGAACCGATCTGTATAAACATGTATTGCAGAGCAATACATAGTAATCAAGAAAAAAATACCCATTTATTGAAGGAAGGAGTGACAAAAATTTCAGAGTTGTAAATTTATTCACGGGCAGTATTTTTGCGATAATTTTATTTTGCACTGTGATGTTATTCGGTTCACAGGCATGGGCATCATTGTCGTTCGTCCCCCCTAGGTGAGGTGCGAATTCCTCGCAGAACTACCGCTCGTGCTCATTTTGTAGTCATAAACAAAGGTGCTGGACAGTTCTATCTGAGCTCTGATACGAGGTAGCGTCCAATCTCAATACTTTTTTCCTGATTTGGAAGCAACGAACAGCAGTAAAAGTCGTTGAAAATGCATTGCAATACATCAAAATGTATGCAGCAGGACTTTGAGCCAAAACTGCCAAGGGATAGTTTAAAAATGTCGAAGAACAAGTAATTCTTCTTCAGAGCAAGGTTTGGAGCAATTTATAGTGCTTCTAAAACTAAAAAGTACCTTTTAAAGAATAGCACGATAGGCAATCGGCTTTTGTTTTAAGAATTAGCAAACGTTGAATTTACTTGTCCCGAAAATTCAAACTGGTGGCTCCTTCTACCTGATAGTAATTTATTTTTGAAATTCCAAAACAATTTCATAGCTGAATTTTGAGCGACTTTTAGTTACGGACTTCTGCTCCAACGATTTTTCTGAAATTCTTCTGGCATATTTATTACATCAATTAAAGCCGATACCAGAAATTTCAGTAAAAAATATCAGCAAAATTTTTTACTAGACGCGATTTTCTTTGAACAGTAGCGTCCTTTTAAGCGCTAATTTCTCAAGAAATATTTACCATCAATGAAATCGGAATATTTCGTATTATTGCCGAATGATATCTGTTGTCCTTTGCAAAGTTTCGCAGCCATCGCGTTAAAATCGAAAAAGTTATGACGGAAAATTTGTTACAGCTAAATGCTCTTGTATTAATTACGGAGCCACCTTAACTGCAACTGTGTTTTTCTGGTGGTTATTTACTGGTTATTGATCCAACTTACCAAATCGTAATCATCTAATGCCAAAACTGAAGCTGAAAGATATCTTCTCTTTGCCTCGCGCCCGATTCTTTCAGCTACTTCTTGAGCAGTTCCAGTCTGGGATCCATAAAGAACAGAAATCTTTCTTCCAGAAATTTTCGATAGATCGTCCGCCATTTTAGTTAGCTTTAATTTCGTAGACCACAGACCAGTGAAATCGCAGTCTCTCAACAAAAAGAGATTGCGTGACTGTGCTACCCAGTCACGGAATACTTCGGCTATTCGACACAACTGTGAAATTGGTCGAGAGCGAACAAAATGGCATCAAATCTCGATTATGCGGAGGATATTGAAGAAGCTAAAGCATACATGGCTAAAAAGAATGTATTTCAACTGTTTGAGGTCAGTAATAGTGCCTATTTCGAATTGATCTCCTTTGCTGATGCGAAAATGCGGTCAATACCGTCGCAACAAGCGTGAATCAAAGGCAAATACCTTTTAAAAAGGATTTGTTACATAGATCTGATAGATGTAATCAGTGATAGAATTAGCAGCTTTTTCTATATGCGAGACACGGATTTTGCTGCATTATGCAATGAATGCGTGGCTCGTTGTTGTTTTCAGTATCTCATTCAAGGAGGCATTGTTCAACCACCGGCATTTTGTTTGCAAGATGTAAAAATCATTCCGTCTCGATTGACCTTAGCAACGAGCATGTGCATGCAGTAGCTGTTTTATCATTTTATCGGTACCCTATGCAGCTTTTAAGGACTAGTGTTCCTTGAGTGAATTTATCACGATAGTAGACATAAAAAAAATGACATAAAATTCGTTTGTTTTGAGGAATAACATAGCAAATTACCGGGTACGTACGTAGTTACAGATTAATGGATAAAATCACATCTGCTTTCATTACAAAAGATCGCCACCAAAAATCGATTTATTACAATAACACGCCTCGTAATACAGTATTCTATTAATAACATATTTCTTCGTGGTTCTGAAATGCGGCATTTCTTGACCAGTGGTTGTGCACGATTGTTGAACTGCGTGTGGAAATTTATAGTTACCGAACGGATTCAATATGCTTCATCTTGACATTTTGATAAGTTAATCGTAGCGTACAATCCCCACACCGTTTTCGTTATCTTAAGTTGCCCATTGATCCGAATTCTTGCGTTCATTTTGGTACCCACAATGCAGACTGTGGAACAGATTGCAAGTTTACCAGAAACAAACGCAAGACAATGTTGTTTCTTCTACCGTATACTTTCCGGGACACTAAGTTGGCCCAGTAGTCAGCTGAGTTAAGTATTTAGATTTGGTCACGGATTCGGCTCCTGTTGAGATTTGTTGACTCGGATTTTTTCTTCCAAGTCCATGTTACTTTAAGTACATATTTTATTTCCTGAATATCAGAATCCAGTTTAAATCGTTTTAGACCGACTTTCTGAATACGAAACCCCATTGTAAAACCACGGAAGGAATATGTTTCCATGCACCAGTGCTGGCTAAGCAACAAGCATCTGCTAACACACCTGAGAGGTGCTAACGGTATGGCATTACATTGTGTTCTTAATGAGGATTTTGGCTCATGATTGTATTTCTTTCTGTGGGAAGCACTCATTTAGCAAGCCACTCCTGAGTATTATCATTTTCTAAGTTCCACCTCCGTGCACCACAAGTGACTCTGCACTTCATTACATCCTCCTAGAGAGTTTTTATACTCCATAAGGGCAAAAGATGGGGATGAGATACTAACCTGGGGAATCTTTTGCTCCTTGCCGCTTGGAACGTCTCCTGAGGAGAGATAGCTGTATTACTCGGCTGCCGAGAGACCAACATATGTGATTTTCTCTACCTTATTTCAGACTGCAACCCGTTGCTTGAAGAGAAAATTTGATCAAATTCCAGCCTCTGGAAGCGCCTGGTTCCACAGAGTATACAAAACCTTACACTGTTTCAGATCCAATCGGCTAAAATCTACAGTATACCCATTTCCCAACATCCTTATACATAGCTTATATATTAGGGCATATTTACCCCCCATCCCCCAACCAAACGGGAAAAGGAATCTCTTTCTTTTTAAAGACTTATAACTTGGAAAAGGTACTATAATTGTCCTCTTGGAGTGCTGTCTGCTACTATGATGTAGAGAGGCAAAGAAGATAACTGAGTAACGATAGGGAGCAAAGTACTCTACGTGTCCATTTTACATAGGTCTCTTATGCATAGAGTTGACTGTACTGCCGCCTTTTTTCCATAAACGGTGAAGCGAGCGAAATACGCGAGCTCCACAAAACTTGGACCCAAAGAGGAAAAGTAAATAGACAGTTACTCTAATATGAGGTAGAACCATTTCAATTTAGGAATAACTATATCATTATTCTTTACAGCTCCATTATATTCTCCCAAAGGTCGACATGTAATACCCTTCCGATGGTTTCCCATAAGGTTTTGTTAAGTGAAGGAAAAAGCTTATTTAGTACTTTTATTTTCTCAGAGCCTGTTGACCGCACTCGTTCATAATCGCCCTGAGGACCCCGTTGTCTTTCTACAAGAATGCCTTGAAACCGCCAAACAGAGCGAAGATCTTCGGTGGAACTCGTTCCTGCACGTTCAAGGAAAAAGCAACAAGAGCAAAAGTTCACAGACCACTGCAGGACAGTTCGATAAAGTGTTTGATACAGAATTGGACACANATTCTTTACAGCTCCATTATATTCTCCCAAAGGTCGACATGTAATACCCTTCCGATGGTTTCCCATAAGGTTTTGTTAAGTGAAGGAAAAAGCTTATTTAGTACTTTTATTTTCTCAGAGCCTGTTGACCGCACTCGTTCATAATCGCCCTGAGGACCCCGTTGTCTTTCTACAAGAATGCCTTGAAACCGCCAAACAGAGCGAAGATCTTCGGTGGAACTCGTTCCTGCACGTTCAAGGAAAAAGCAACAAGAGCAAAAGTTCACAGACCACTGCAGGACAGTTCGATAAAGTGTTTGATACAGAATTGGACACACCGATAAATGGTTAAAACAGAGAACTTTATTTTGAAGAGCGTCATCAAAGTATTATCTTTTATTTTGTTATATATTTTTTCATCAACAATTTGTAAATAGGTTCTTTATTTTTCTGTTTGTGCAAGACACTTAAACTCCGGCTTCGCTTTATAACCAGTCCGTATATTCAAGAAATGTCCCTCAAAAATTGTTTCAGATTTGGCACGGAACACCCAGAAGTTAAGCTTGTTCAGTCTTACCCGGAACTGGGGACTCGGATGTTTACACGGACTGATTAGCTCTGAACGTTTGTAGGCAACCGCAGACTCCTTACTGATTTTTATTCCAGTGCAAACAAATTCAGCTAACGTGAGAATCCTGAGTGTTGAAAATGTAAATATATCAAATAGAAATGACAGAGGGATCTTCAATGCTTGCCTCGTCGTCGCTGCTTTTTTGTGACTGCAGTAGACTGCGAGCAGTCTCTCTTTTTCGTCAGATTTAATGCAGGGGAGTGCACGCGATGCAAGCATCGAGCGGCAGCCCTACAAGAAAAAAGCACCTCCAGTGCCTCTCCCGTCTCGCGCCTTCAGTCACACGCGTGGTCATTTGCGTGTCTCGCGCGCCTCGCAGGACGGACTACGAAAAAAAGAGACTGCTCGTAGTCTATTACTGCAGAGCAAAACTTGAGTTCCTCTCTGATACAGAGACTTTAGCAACTCTTCGTTTGATTCCTTCACCAAAACTAAGCAAATCTGCAAGCTCCACTTTCTTCTTTCCCCTCGCCTGCACTTTCGCCCTCCACTTCCCAAATTTTTGACATGTACTGACAGAGAAGGCCTGGGAAGACGCCGCACAGGGACTCGCAAGGCGAAAGCCACGCACAATCAAGCCTTCGCTCGTCCAGTCGCTTGTACATTGTACATCTAAAGGTCTTTACTAAGGGGGTAGGCGAGCGCAACGCCACCCCAAGTAAACTACAACTTGGTTTACAACAGCGCTGATCTTTTTATTATCAAACATTGCAATTTGAGATTATCGTCAATGTAAACCAGAAGAAGTTTGACCTCTGACGCCCCTCTACAAAAAATCATTTCTNCCAGTGCAAACAAATTCAGCTAACGTGAGAATCCTGAGTGTTGAAAATGTAAATATATCAAATAGAAATGACAGAGGGATCTTCAATGCTTGCCTCGTCGTCGCTGCTTTTTTGTGACTGCAGTAGACTGCGAGCAGTCTCTCTTTTTCGTCAGATTTAATGCAGGGGAGTGCACGCGATGCAAGCATCGAGCGGCAGCCCTACAAGAAAAAAGCACCTCCAGTGCCTCTCCCGTCTCGCGCCTTCAGTCACACGCGTGGTCATTTGCGTGTCTCGCGCGCCTCGCAGGACGGACTACGAAAAAAAGAGACTGCTCGTAGTCTATTACTGCAGAGCAAAACTTGAGTTCCTCTCTGATACAGAGACTTTAGCAACTCTTCGTTTGATTCCTTCACCAAAACTAAGCAAATCTGCAAGCTCCACTTTCTTCTTTCCCCTCGCCTGCACTTTCGCCCTCCACTTCCCAAATTTTTGACATGTACTGACAGAGAAGGCCTGGGAAGACGCCGCACAGGGACTCGCAAGGCGAAAGCCACGCACAATCAAGCCTTCGCTCGTCCAGTCGCTTGTACATTGTACATCTAAAGGTCTTTACTAAGGGGGTAGGCGAGCGCAACGCCACCCCAAGTAAACTACAACTTGGTTTACAACAGCGCTGATCTTTTTATTATCAAACATTGCAATTTGAGATTATCGTCAATGTAAACCAGAAGAAGTTTGACCTCTGACGCCCCTCTACAAAAAATCATTTCTTTAATAATGTCTTAAATATTACATAGAGTTCACATACGACTGCCAACTCAAATTGTATTTTTAACCATTGTTCCTCGTCAGTTATATAATTTTCTACTAACTAATTAAGTAATAAATATACTTCATCAATGTAGGTACCAGAGTGACTATATTGCCGTTTATAGGCCTTTTCGCAACATTTTCCTGGATCCACGAAATAATTAATAGGTAATAATAAAGATATCAAATTTTCCCAAAATAAGAAAATAGACTTTTTATAACAGCAGACTATTTTAAATATAAAATCATCACTTTTGAACGGGGAAAGGCAAAGATATTCGATGTCCTTTGAATCATCCCAGTAATTAATACACAGCTTTTCATTAAATACTGTTTCAGTGTACATACCTTTCAATTAAGAATATGTAAATTTGAAACACAGAAAATCTAATGGTGGTTAGCATATTTTGTTAAATTTTCCTTTCAGTTGGGTCATAGGATTTGTGGTAAAAGAGAATAAACCATTAACTAAACATCAAAGCAATTATAGACTCACATCTTACTTACAAAGCAACGACAACTAACTTTAGCCTAACTAGAGGTAATCGTTGGTTAAGGATTCGCGTTCGTCATAGCCTCCACGCAGACGCCCTTGGGGGAGGAATGAAGGCGTGAGGAACCAATCCGTAACGACGTCTGCGGGGAGGCTATGTTCGTCACTTGCAGAATCGAAATCGAGTCGAAAGGACTCCAGTTTCCCGCAACCGAGATGTTCCTGATATAATTAATAGGGGCGGCTAATCGGCAGTCGCCCTTGATAGCTCGAAAATTTCTGCCTTAGTGCCACAGGAACACCAGATTAGGATGCCTTCTGACGAACGCGAAACTACCAAAGCCAAAACCGTTGTCCAAAACTATAAAATTCTACTTTTGTCATTTACAATTCAAATTTTATGGGAATACAATGCTATCTATCTTACAGTATTAAAAATAATCTACAAAGTAACTCAAAAGATTTTTTTATTCTTAAGCAAGCGCAATTTAGATCTGTTCTCCGACCAAAGCTAGCCTTATAAAAAAATTATTTCAAAACATTCTGTCGGGACTCAATCAGTCCGTCGAGGCTGACTGAGATGCTTAAACAAGTATACAAATCGGTCCATTTAGAAAATTTTGGCCGTAATTTAGAACTCCGGTAACCGACTAGATTCTGAAATACCCGTCCACTAAAAATTTACCTATAAAGGCTGCTCCCGCAGTCCCGCAATCGTCAAACGAAATTGAAAAAAGGTAAAACTGCTCTTTTCATCATTTTTCGTTCTATAAACCTATACTTACCTGATGTTAATAGAGTCATCGACTGCAGGACTACGAGACTGCGGAAGCAATAAAGGTAATTACTCGTAGATTTATTGACTACAGAAATGTGGGACTGCAATTCCCAGGCTGGGACTATGGGAGCAGTAGTTCTACTACTTGCTTTAAATACATTTGATAACTACAGGATAACATAATAAATAGTGTGGGAGTGTGAACTGAAAATCAGAACACATTTACTTGATGATCATCGAAGGACCACGGGTAGCAGTTACTATTATATTTTGGAGGTTTAATAGATCTGTAAGTTTTTCCAGCTTCCCAATTTACCTGCATTTATCTATTCAACAACTTTTCATTCTCCATTAACTTGAAAACTTTCTGTATTGATGTCTTTGACTGTTTGTATCATCAAACTTAATCAAATCTTCATGAACCTACTTTTTTATTAATTTCCAAAAAAAGCTTCTTGAGCGAAGACCCCGACTAAAAATGTTAAAACCACAATAAAAGTATAAATTCCATTGAAAGTAATGATAACTCCACCGATTGAAAATCCCACTGTAGGCAAAATACTCTCCAAATAGATAATGTACTTTTCGTAGTTAAACTTACGCTTCTTCTTCGTTTTTGTTCGCCATTGATGAAACGTTTTCGCCATACCAGTTAAAAAGTTTACTCTGGGTAGAGAATCTTGGCTTTCGCCTTTTTTCTGGGCACTTTCATCCCGAGAAGGCACTGTCAATTTTTCCGCAACCCGCTCGCCATCGGAACTCGTATGGCGATCAGTGGAATCGCTAAACGAGGTAGACTTGTACGAGGAAGTCAAAGTGCCACTGGAAACAAGAGTTCCCTGAGTGGCTTGAGATGGGTTTTCCGAAGACTGAGATCCCTCTATGTCTATTCTCACCACGTCAGGGACGTTTTCGCTGGATGAGCTTCCGCTTAGAGCCACTTCCTGATTCCCTAGATATTTGTCAACTTTTTCAACATCTGTCAAGGAAGATTCGCTTTTGGATCTCCTGAGATTCAATGTCTGAGAGGAAACGGCGTTTTCATTAACCTGATCGTAATCTGTAAGTAAAATCTTCGGTGTTTTATTGAGAGTTGTGCCTCGTAATGATCCTCGTTTCAGTTTTGATGCTCTTTCGTCCGCGGAGAAATGTATGGATATCTCACTGTTTTTCCTGAAATATTTTAAAAACAGATGTGTGAAAGACGTGTTTACCGGAAGGTGTTCTTGACAGCTGCGCCACTGATATCTTACAAGAACTCCTTGCCGTAAGAGTAGGACCTTGATTCAGGCGAAGAGAGCTCGCACGCAAAAACTGTAAAACAGAACGTGGACTAGCCAATATAGTACACTGACATTGATGTAGACTAATAAACTATGATGCAGGGTATGAAAGTCCGCGTGTTAAATTTTCAGTTTTGCGATTCTAGCGAAAATTATTAAAAATAAGAGTATTCCCTCATGGAATTATTACCTCGAATTTGGAGCTTTTTTGGCCTCTGTTTTAACAGCTACATTGCAGTCATCGTTTGTAAAGCCTTTATTCTTAAATCCCACCGCGTCTTTCTTATCAGGCGTTTCTTTGGACCTTATTTTCTCCTCACTAGGAGCACCCCTCCTGGCCCTTATCGGTGATGGCGACCTGGAGCGAGTGTCCGAATGTGACTGATGTAGATAGTCATGCGCTAACGCTTCAAGTTCGTGTTCCTGCAAGCATTGATAAAAGTAAAAACGTAAGTATAGTTATCCAAAAAAACCGCCGGCCCTTTGCGACCAAAAGGGAACATGTTACGTGGGAATAAACCGCCACAAAAGCAGGCTTGCATTGTATATCGCAAGACGTAGCCCTGCAAATCACGGCCTTGACTTGGATGGATACTTCAAAATCAGATCTTCGGAAAAGGACTCAGACTGATCGTCATGTAATCAAACAAGAACGAGCATTACTCGAAAACCTCACTTCCAATTTTTGCATTGTAGTGAAGTCACGACCTACAAATTGTAGGAAATCTCAAAGGTTCCACACCTCTGCCGACCTCTGCTTTAGCTTGACGTGGGGTGGTGCTGGAGTCGTACGGAGAATGCGGTTCTCCTTGCGGAAACTGTTGTTGGTAGTTATTGTGTTGTGGGATTTGGTCAGTGACTTTTCAGACTTCCCTGTTGGATCATATGTGCTGGCAGCACCATCTCCAACAAGAAACTCCCTGTTTGCGAGTACTACGAGCTTTTGAAGATCATATAGACCCAGACTTGTACCCAGTCGCTTTTTATGTGTTTTGGGGCTGAGAGAAGATTGGGGGTTAGGTTGAGGCGCGTGCGGGCGACGCTATTTTTCCTTCTTCCCTTCCCATGAGACCCCACGCGCGCCTAACCCCAATCTTCTCTCACTCCCAAAACACATAAATAGCGATTGGATACGAGTGTGATATAGACCGGTCATCAAGGCTTGCTTATCTTTTCCGGCACTTTACTGAACAAACGTCATCCATAGCATACCTCAGGGATATCAACCCATGCGTTAACCACCACCAGCTTGTACCTCAAGTAAGTCTTCGTTACCCAAGCTGCTCCAGTAAGCGGACACACCACCCAGATAAGAGGTGCTATGGCGAACCACACATAAATAGCAAACCGCTTTAAGAACAAAAAGTTGTACGCATTCAGAACAAACGAAGTACTGCAGGCAACCAGAAGAGTGGTAAGGACAACCTGTTGAGATAAACAACCTGTGTAAGAAAATACAAAATTGATACTAAAATATACGTTAGCTCGAAAGGTTTCGAGCTAGCTGTTGACCTACTTGGTCAATCAAGTTCCGTGACGTCCTTGGCTGTAAAGACTCTAAATGTACTATAATATACGTCATTTTATTTCTAGTCAAATTGTCGGTTTTTGTCCAGTTAGTCCATTGTTCTCGATTTTTGCTTGGGGTTGGTCAATAAGTTGTTTGTAAGATGCTGGTAACTGCTCAAATGCAAATTTTGCATCCCGTGGTGAACCCACCAATAAAGTTCTAATCTACGCACTTGCAAACTCAATAACGTACCGTGCTCTTCTGGCTTCCTTCACGAACAAACTTGGCGCGAGCAGAGAAAAGATTGACAGCTTCGGGAAAAGCCACCTGAATTGGATTTTCACGGAAAAGTTTACCCATCCGATCTGAAGCGAAAAGTAATATGAGAACATCAAAGTTAAAAATGAAATTCAACTGTCTCACCAGACAGGTGTGCTTCATGGCAGGAAAACGGTTTTGCACTTGATGGCAAATAAAGACGAAGCCGTTTCAGGTGCCTATTTTAGCAAAACCTGATGGTATTATTTTTCAGGTAACCCCGTTATTAATAGCAACTCTTTAAGGTAAGGAAATACGAGGGGTCTTGAGGCGGGCTAGCCTGTTCCATACGCCGAGACGGTCGGGTGCTATCCCTTCGATTCTTTTTTCCCTCCCCGCCAACTTTTCGCGTGCCTTTCACCTTCGCGTCTTCCCTACACTATCTGGGGGCCTGAAGCATGCTAGGGGCGGGCAGGAAAAAGGCAAAATGTTATAAGTATTAGGCCATAAACTTTTGTGTGTAGAGTCGAACCTCGCGTAAGCGACCACTGACCAGAAATGCAAAGACTGAGTGGTCGCTTACAAGAATCGAACCACAGGGCCCCCAGTCTTCCGAGAAGAGGTCCAGGCACATCTACTTTATGGAAGATGACTTATTGCATGCAATGTCTAAGTTAAGACATGTGTAGTTCCATGTTGCCACTAAAGTTCTTCGTATAATCTAAGTAGCATAGTGGACATAGCGAACATAGAGATCAGAGAATGCGTCAAGTTGTCGCTTACAAGAGGTTAAAAACAATGGAAAATCATTAACCGTAAGGCCCAAAAAGTGGTCGCGGTCGCTTACAGGAGGTGGTCGTTTACTAGAGGTTCCAACTGTGAGGCTTTGGCTCGTAAAAATTTGGTGTTTTGGATTGGTGGTCGCTTATAGGAGGTGATAGCTTGCGAGGAGTGGCCGCACATGGAGATTCGACTGTATAGGGGTTTAAAACACCCTCCTGCAAAGAAATCAGTGGACAGTTGGGCAATCCAGAAGCCTGCTCCAGCTGTTCAGATCGTAGGAACGGACCGAAGAGGAGTGATTAGAGAAGGAAAATGTGAGGTCGCCCCTCCCCACTAAATAATACATGCCGCTGATCTTTCGCCGTTCCCAGGTAAAGCCAGGAATTTACTTTAGTTCATATGGACAATTAAGGCTAGGATACAAAAGAAATTCTGAACAAACAGGTTGAATATTTGCCGTTTAACCTGAGAAGATATTTTATCTCAATTACACCTTGTCTACTTATTTCTGTAGAAAAAAAATACTATAAACTATTTTGAATGAGAACAGCTCTCTTACCGTTAAATTCACGCATTGAGCTTTGAATCATGAAGATCAAACTCAAGTGGAACACAAGTAGCAGACAAAATCCATAAAAGATGTGGAACAGGCTTGTTGCTCTGAGAATGTTGAACAGCACGTCAATTCCAGTAGGAATCATGACTCCAGTCTTATTCGACAGCTTGGAGAAGCTGAGTTTGAGAGCTCCATCATAAGCGTAACATCCAAACTGACCCATAGCTGCACCCATGGCAAACATAACCACAACTATAGGCATAAACTGATAAAAAAAAAAGCAATTTGAAAACCGGCACAAGTATAAACACCAGTTAAGTGGACAACTAATATAAATAGAGAATTTGGGAACGAGTAACCCAAAAACAGTCCAGGCTACATTGCACTAAGTCATCCAATTACAGATACACAAGCCTTTATGATTTAACTGTGATCCGCGCGAAAGGAGCTCCGAAGGGAAGGGAGAAATCCGGCACTTCTCGGTAAGCGCGTTCCTCTTCCTTTCACCGTTTCGCCGCTTCTGTTTGGCTCAAATCCCACGGCTAGGCTTTATAACCAGTTAGCGTTGATCATATTTGAAGACGTTTTGCGATATCCGGTAAAATGACGTCAATAGTCCAGGCTATTGCAAGGACGAGGTAGCAGTAGCTCAGCTGTTTTAATGAAGAAAATGCGCGTAGAAAATTTTTACATGTTTTGCGAAAAAGTGATAGCAAAAACGAAACGATAATAACTGCTATTGAGAGGACAGGATATCTGTTAGACTAACTAGACTTTACATCCGCTTACAACCTGAGTTTGCCAAGCGGCAGGCAAATGAAGGCGGGAACTTAACATCGCCTCCAAGTATGTTTTAAGGTATTAAATATTTTGGATGAATTAGAAAAACAACTAATGGATTTGGCTTAAGAATGATCTGAAGAATTATGCAGATCTCGGAGGTTGGGTGTTATCCGCCGAGGCCGAAACACCCTCATAGTAGCCTGTGTGCAGACCCCCCTCCCCCCTTCCCCTTTTGCGATTTTTACTGAGGGGAGGGGGGGGCCTGTACACAGGCTATCTCCTAGTAGTCTGCTACACAGCCGTTTTTAGTGTCGTCACACAACGCTCCTCCCCACTGTGGGGAGGAGCGTTGCGTGACGACACTAAAAACGGCTGTGTAGCAGACTAATCTCCTAGTCGATCTACATAATTCTTCACATCATACGAAAGCCCAATACAATAATTGCCAATTATCTTCCGACCCAAGGTTGCCTAGGAAACTTTCTTACTAATTAGTTTTCTTAATCAAACAAAACGTCAGCCTGAAACAGTGTGAAGCATTCTTGTCGGTTGACAACCTGGAGTTTCCGTGTCATGGGGACTTAGTACTCAAATCAAACAAATCAAATACAAGAAACAAACTGCTATAAAAGAATCACTGACAGACGTACGGACTTTCTGAAAATGAATATCTCATCGCAAAAGTTAACAATTATTGTTTTTCGACAAGGAAATGAAACCTAAAAATGTTTTCCATCAGGGTTTTCATAAAACGAAAACAGTGTCTTATTTTTAACATGCAGTTCAAAACAATTTTTTTTTTACTTCAATTAAATATAGTTTCCACGAACCATAACTCCTGAAGGCCTCAAATTTTATTTTTATTGATACAAAAGAGAGGTAATTGTCTCCTCCGTTCGGTTGGTTTCTGTTAATCACTCACAAATGAAAAACAACTGTAGGTAGCCTCTTTTTCATTGATTCAATAGATAAAAAGAGGACAATAAAAAAAATTTTTAGACATACAACCGTGAAATAAATCATTTCAGAGACTACATGAGACGGCGTTCACTCTGAGAAACCTCGGGGATCGAATACCTACTAGATCGCAAAGATTTCTTTCTTCTTAGCTCCTCTCCAAAAAAATTGAGGTGTAAAACGTTTTAGTTTGTACGAATAGAAAGAATAAGAGTAAATTCTGAGATCAGGATAATGCAGAAATTAAAAACCGCGAGGCCAATGTATTTGATTAGATATCGGTGGGGAACAGGTTGGAAGCGATAAAAGGATCCTCAAAATATATATACACTCGGGCTATTCCTGGATTTATTTGCATTTCCTAGAGATAATCGCATAGGGAGCAAATCCAGCAAACCCGGTATCTAATTTGATATAAATGAATTTAAAATAAATGCGCAGTTGGATGGATAACGCGAAGAATTGGATACATCAGGGGTGTGATTGTGATTGATATAATCTCACAGTTATTGGCCCTCTAAACGTTTTGAGAAGAATCTGATAAAATACCAAACAATTTCATTAAGGAAACTACAAACAGTGGGGGATTAGAACATTGGCGACAATGGACACATACTTACCTTGAATATAAGGTAAACACGTTTTAGAGTCTTGGGATAATGTCCATCTCTCTTGAGTTTTTTCACCCCCTTAATAAACCATGGAACAGAATGCCTTATCATGGAGTAACAGCAAGCTACAAGCGTTATTAGAAACACACCAATACATGTTGCCCAAGACACTTCAAACACAAATACCGCCTCGTAAAAATCCAAACCGAAGTGAATGACCATATTGAAGATCCATATTACGAGACCGATCCAACCTTTGAAACGATTGAAAGACCGATTAGTGTCCCCAATTCCGGCGGAAAGTAAGTAAGTCCTCCGCTGAATCAAACTTATATCGACTGATTCTAGCTTTAGGTCATCTGAGAGTTCGTGTGGGACGTCTGTAGAAGACTCCTTGTCATCGGACAAGGAATGTTTATTAGTTGCGGTCTTGTTGCTGGTTGACCCGTTGCGTGTCACAACTCGTATTCTAGTCGTAGACCCATTAGTCACGTTTGCCATTTCCACATCGGCCATTTTAAGCCAGGAAACTGCTTTTTAGATCCTTTGAAGTGCCTTGTATATTCGATACTGAAGTCTGTTACAAAGCTTGTCCGGACATGACTAACATACAGTCACTTTCATAGAACAATCAATCTGTTCTGAATCAACCCAATCACAACTGCAGCCTGATGCTAGTTTAGTTGCTATATACTCTGAACGGTCATAATATAAGCCCATAATCCAAAGAATTTTCATGAAACAGCTGCCTGAAAATGTAACCACAAAAAAGCTTCAATTAAGTCTTAAATGTTTTACGACAAAACTTAATATTTATATTATTAACTTTTAAGCAACAATACGTCTGTGTTGATTTCCGATTTAGTACTACATTGGATTTCAATGCGGCTGAGTTTAACGTTTTGGGCACTTCTAGGAAATCTATAGAAATGATTTTTGAAAACCCACCGTCGCTAAACAAATCTCAAGAGATAACAGGTTTGAGTCGAGCTCCTCTTCGAGCATACAAAATTGTTGGCATGTAGATGTTTACCGCAATATTGCACTCAGCCAAAATTCATAGTGATGTTGCACAATATGATTTCACTCTCAATGAATAAAACAAGTCTGTGAAGAAGTTTCTCAGAACTGACCTCGTCTACAGGCGATAACACCGTGAATTCTTAGCTCAGTGCCATCCGTCCACACTCAAGGGCATCATCGAAAACGATAAAGAATTCTTCAAACTTGTAACTTGTCATCAGGTTCACGAAATTCTTGAATATAAAGCAGACTGCAATGACCCGCGTGATGAGCTGCCTAACTACCGAAACTAAACAATAGGCGTTGAAACAGGTTTTTATCTGTGACCAGCGAGCCACGACAAATTAGTTCCATGAAACAGGGGTAATTATATCAGCAATAAACTGTTTTGATTTATGACCCCTTTTCAACCCCTGCGAGCATTCCTTTTCCGATATTTAAAAATGTGATTTTAGTTATTTCGATTTTGGCCATAAGAAGGAAAGGGGAATGGAATTCAAAACAGGAATAGTTCCTTCTTGTTGTTTGACGTCAATAAAGAAATCGGTTTATTGTTTGCCAACTTCTTGATTGGCTAAAAAATTGTTATTCAAAGCTTATGAATGGAACTTCCATTATTCAGAAGAAATATAAACAAAGTTAAAGCCAAAAAAATAACACATAGAATAAAAGCAGAAATGCTTCACTACTAGGCAGATTACCTGTTTGCCAAATACGTTTTTATTGAAGTAAAATAAAAAAAGGCGCACAGCGTTTTTTTCTTCAATACCAAACTATCGATTGGTTGACTATAACCTACTAATCATAGGCTTTTCAATGACTCCTCACCTTCTATAGATATAATCACACTTTTCATAGAAATACAATATAATACAATGAAATACAATGGAAAGCATTATTTTCGTCTTTTTAGGCTACCGGAGACTCGGCTAGGGTCATGTCAGCAGCGCGCGGAAAAAACCCAAAACGGGTTCCACAAAAAATACGGAAAACAAGCCGCGAAAGCTTATTATTATTATTAATTTCTTGCCTTGTGAACTTGCTGATCTCATACCGATTTACTTGCTAATGGAGCGGGGCATATTAATCCATGACCAACGGGCCCCTTAGAGTTCACCTCCTTACTTAAATCCATGCTGTTCCTAGTAGCGTAGTTTTTATGGGTAATGAAATACAAATTCTCATGTTCAACTTTAATTTCCAGCTACTTCCCAATGATCCTACAACCGGCAATCGGTATCACCTGCACAGTTCACATAAGTTCCACATCAACAGTCCTCGCAATTTCTCTTTTAAGCTCCTGATTCTTTTCAGCCTTATCATTCTCTTTTTCATCAATTCACTTTATGAAAAAAAATAAAATAAAATTAAGTACAGTGAAACCTCGATATAACGAAGGGCCAAGGGACTGGCAAAATATGTTCGTTATAACGAAGTTCGTTAACTTATGTCGAGGTTCTTTTGCATATTGCCTTATATTCTACTATTACTGGAGTAAAAGAAAAAAATTTTTTTAGACCGAGGACTTTGTCATAGAGGTTCCATTATAATATACATTTTCATATAAATAGTATCTTCTGCATAAGAATCTTCCAGCATCAAAAGTTATTATTGGTCCGTTTCGATCCCATCAGTCTGACGCGTAAAAAGCCTCAACACGCCTGTCTTTTCAAAACTACACTTAGTCCTAGACTTCTGCGTTTTTAAATCAGCAAGACGACGCGGAATTGAGTCTTTTTTGATGATGGTTCTCGATTAAATCTAAAGACTACTCCACGAACTGGAGTTTCTTAAAACAAATTATATCGGCTGTTGATTTGGTCTCTGACCCATTTCGATGATGTACTAGACAAAATGAAGCGGTTACAGGAACCTACAGTGTAATATAATGATCTGCAAACGTCTAGTGGCGGATCCAGCATGTGCAATCAGGCTCAGCTGGAGAAAGGTACTTTTTCGCGTCTTAAAATTTATCAACTTGACTCCGCTCAACAATGACTCAAGAAAGGTTCAGTAATCTGAAAGTTCTAAACAGCCCCAAAGAGAGAACAGCCAAATTTGCACTCCATCCCCCACTTCAAAAGAAGTGGTCATCGGCCCCTGCACTCTAAAAACTGCTCTGCGGGCCCTGGAACTACAACCGTATCACCATCCCTTTCCTTTGGTAGAGATCTATCTCCTTCGCCCTTTTACAAAGATTTATAGGAGTTATATTTGACAGTAGCCTTTCTTTTGATTCTCATGTAAATAATCCATCATATTCACTACTAGGAAAACTTTGTCAGATAATAGTGTCCGACAACTATTTACAAAAGACGTTCTTTCAGTCAGTTTGAATTCTTTATTGTCTCAATTTGGGACATGTTTATTAACTTATTGTATTGTAGTGTATTGTAAGATTTTAATTAAAAACCGTAATGGGCACCAATTGAAAACTTGCCGTAACGAGAGGTTTCACTTCTGGCCTTTGGATGATGAGTGCCATGCATTGTCAGGAGCTCCTCAATCCTAGTTTTGGGATCCAAGCCAGCCAGTTCCTATCAAATATTGTTAATATATGAAAAACAGCTTTAAACTGTAGGGGAACACAAGAAAATAGCTGAAAATACAAAAAATTGAAACAGGCAAACAATTGGCCCAATTTTTTTCGAGTTTTTATGCATCTCTGAAAAAATCACCAGAAAATTATAATTGTTAGTGCTCCTTGATTATGCGATATCTTGTTCATAATTCCATATGCGGGCATTTTTCGAATGAAAAAGACGCTAAATTAATGACTTTAGCGCCAGGATTGGCTTAAAATGGCAACATCCTCATGACATAGCCCCTTTGCCGATGTAATAACAGCAGTGGACACTTTTTATAATACTATGTTTTTCAAGTTTTATTTACAAATTGCTAAGTTAAAGTGAAAACTCTTAAAATATCATGTCATTTCTCTCTAAAGCCACTCTTCATTTTTTCTCGCAGGGGGAACAATGGGATGAACAATTTCTGTTTAAAACTAAAGTCCGATACCCTAACCTGCCGCTTATAAGCAGTCTTATACATCTTCCAAAGTGGGACTTATATCTGGGGGGCGGGGGTGGGGGGGTTATAATCGGATGTATTTTTTTGTTTACAGGTAGATGGGTCTGTCACTAGGGGTGGGGAGCTAATATGTGGCGGTTTACAGGAATCAATTTAGGTTTCTGGGAAACCGCCCACCTACCCCTCTCCTAAGCCATCATTTTGCCCCAATTGAGAAGTAAGTGTTAATTTTAGTTAAGGGGAGGGGTAGGTGGGCAGTTTCTCAGAAACCTAAAAGCTCTTGCCTCTTGTTCAAGTCGTGAAAACGGGAGGTTCTGGCGGTGCGATTACCAAGAGTGGTAATCACGCAATCTATAACATTTTTTTAATTCTTTCAAGTGGTGAATGTGACAATTTGCCTGGGCCTCTTCAAGTGGTACGGCTTATACGAGCAGTTTAACCATTTGCATGCACGACTCGTACATCAGTTAGTGCAGTTTTACTACCGGCTTGGATGAGGCTTGCACGACTTGCACGAGTCATGCAATTCGAAAAAGCCCCCCTCCACACAAATTCTAAGCGTCCATAATGAGATATAGTTTAACCAGTTGCACGACTTGTACGAGTCGTATCACCTGAAAAAGCCCCCTTCCCACAATTTGCCACTCATTCCCCACTCCCGAAACTGTAAGGGAAATGGGTAAAAGCTTTCGGCCCAACGATTTCTGGGATAGTTTCGGTGGACAAGAGTGACTCATGATTGGTTAATGGTTGCCTTGAAACCACTCAGTGTTCCATCCAAAAGATCCCACAAATCATTATACCCAAAGCTTGTACCCATTCTTCCCATAGAGTTTCTGAAGTGGGGAATTGTCAAGTGTCGTTTAACTGAGTAATATTTTATATAAACATTTTCGCTGAAACATCATTTTCACGACTCTAACCAATCGCACAAATATAAAGCCTTTTCCAACAACCAGTACCACTCGTGCGAATTAAACAAGTTGAATGTTCACTTTCAAGACTGAAACTTGCGGTGATTATTGGTCACTGGATTATTGCTGAGTGGGTCGAGGGTTAGAGATAAAGCAAAACGGCCGGAATTTACACAATTCATTTATTATGTGTTGTACACTTGTCACGTGGATTTGCTTTTTTTAGCACACTTCTCCTGGTCCAGCAGTTCTAGACCTTTAGTTTAATAGTTTGTGTTGTACATATTTTAAATTAGCATATTAGTGTCATTTTAGTTCTTGTATACAAAGAACTGTCGAGAACTACAACCTTCCACTCATTAACATTTAGGAACCTACCAGTATTTACATTACAATTTCAATATAAATTATAACTTGCTTTAATAAGGCCGTCGTTGGCCTTCAAAACCCGCCCAATACATGCACAATATAAGCCCGATACATGCTCAGTATATGCGAATCTGCGTGACGATTCCCCATCACATTTTAATGAATTAATCCAGAAGAAAACCTAAGAAGCATTCATATCCACCACAATATTTTCGCCGCTTTTCTTTGGATTTATTCCTCTGTTTGTCTGTCAATTTCGAAACGGATAAGAGGAGATTAAACGGCTTTGGTGTACGATGAGTTCAATAACAAGACGGTATGAGTGAACGGGGTTCAATGAAGGGAAGAACGGTATGAAGCTGCTTCGGCGACTTTGTGGATTTTTGCTGATGACTGCAATGGATTTTTTTTGTATTGATGGAAGTCATGCCCAGCACTATTCCTCCTTTGTTATTTGTGTCTTGACTTTTTCTACAAGTTCTTCTTGAGGCATTGAAGCAGAAACCTGCAAGGGACGTAAAAGTGTTCACATTTTAGAACGCGTTGCCATTATTTATTGGTATTGTCAATTTTTTTTGATTTGCTCAAAACCTAGCTGTCTGTAAATACATATATATGTCAAGAACAACTGTGTTCAGTACACCTGGTATGAGGTTTCTTTATGCTTCTGAGAAAACGACGCGGCAATAAAACACCACGGACTTGGTCCTGAACAATGAGGCTGATAAGCTGCTCACGAAATCACCTCACCCTTAAGCCCTGCAGTGCCGAACTAATGCGCTTTCGTTAGAAAACGCCTAAATATCTATACGTTTAGGCCCTTCGTCACACTAATACGCTGAGTATTTTCATCGAAAACGCATCAATCTGAAAATGCTATTGAAAGTGGATCAAAACGAAAATGCATACATATCGGATTAGTGTGGACGGAAAAGGAAACGGACCAAAAAGCATCAAATGAA